CACTGTAGCACTGTCCTCCCATTGTTCATCGATTTGCTCGAGCGGGCCCAGTAACGTCTCCATTGTGAGACTTGTTACTGTGTCTGGCATATCGAATACGTCACGGGTAGCTTGCTAGGCTTTGCCGTGAGAGCGAGATACTCTCGGTAGCTTGCTGGGCTCTCTGAGAGGGGCGGAGGACTTGAACTCGGGTCAACGGGTTGGCTGCTAGCAAGGCAAACGCCCTACCCGCTGTGCTATCGCTTCAGTCCAGGGAAGAGAGAAAACAGTGCAAATCGGTGACCGGTGGTCATCCATGAAGGAGAGGCTGGTGGCCTGGAACGGTAGTGAGGGCTGAGCTGAGCAGTGTGGCTGGACTCAGAGAAATGTTTCCAAAGAAAACCCTGGTTTTGGGGGTCAGAAATTCAGTCTAGGGGCTAAGGCCCTTGCCTTGCGTATAGTGGAGCCTGTTTCAATCTCTGGCACAGCATGTTTTCCTGGGCACTACTGATATGACCGGGCTGGAGCAATAGCACAGAGGTAGGGCGTTCGCCTTACAAGCGGCCAAGATGGCCGACCCGAGTTCGATTCCTCCGCCCCTCTCGGAGAGCCCGGCAAGCTACCGAGAGTATTCGATATGCCAGACACAGTAACAACAAAGTCTCCAATGGAGACGTTACTGGGCCCGCTCGAGCAAATCGACGATCAACGGGAGGGCCTGTACTGATATGACCTAAATTCCTCACTCCTCAGAATAAAAAAAAAAAGATTGACAAAAACATTGAATAGGGGACCAGGGTTTATAGTTCAGCAGGTAGGGTGTTAGCCTTGTATGCAGCCAACCAAGAGTGACCCCTTAGCTCTGAGTGAGGAGCAAGCCCTGAGCACTGCCAGGTGTGGCCTCAAAAATGAAACAGCTGGACAGAAACACACACACACACACACACACACACACACACACACACACACACACAGGGCTGGAGCCATAGCACAGCGGATAGGGTGTTTGCCTTGCACGCGGCCCACTCGGGTTTGATTCCCAGCAAGCACTGCCAGGAGTATTCCTTTAAGGGAAGGTTCCCTAATGTGACCTACATTTATTTTGGGTTACCACACCCAGCAGTGCTCAGAGACTACTCCTGGATCTATGCAGAGGTGACTTCTGGTGGGGCTCAGGGGACCATATGTGGTGCCAAGGATCTAACCTGGTTGGTCATTTGCAAGAGTCATGCTGTACTATGGCTCCAGCCCATGACTTACATTTTTTCAATTGCTACTGAAGCATAGGAACAATGCGTTTTTACACACTGATTTTGCCATTGTTTCCTCCTTTCTGGGAAGTCTGCCTTTCATTCCCATCTCATTTTCTGTCTTTTTTTTGGGGGGGTCACACCCGGCAATGCACAGGGGTTACTCCTGGCTCTGCACTCAGGAATTACCCCTGGCGGTGCTCAGGGGACCATATGGGATGCTGGGAATCGAACCCGGGTCGGCCGCGTGCAAGGCAAACGCCCTACCTGCTGTGCTATCTCTCCAGCCCCTCATTCCTCATTCCTGTCTTATTTCATTTCTCAGGTCAGCTGCTAAGCTGTGGGGGTCATGACAATGACATCTGGCCCTGTTCCCCAGGTACCCCTCGCTTCCACCATCGCAGTGGGGTTCAGTTTCCTTCATTTTAAGTGTTAGTCACTTCCCCCCCAACATTTTGAAGGCCAAAATGTCCATTCCACGGGCTGTCAATGTGTGATCTAACCTGAATATCTCTGAATTGTGTAAATAAACTCATCAGGTAACTCCTTACATGAAGTCCAGCTTTGCATCTGTTAAATATTTCACAGGAGGGTTATGTGTGAGAGACGGGCTGGGGGAAGGCTTCAGTGGGGTTAGAGTACATGAGAGCTCTATGGGCTAGAGCGCATGCTTTGCATTTTCTCCCAGAGGTGTTTGTGTGTGTGTGAGATAGTTCTATGGGCTAGAGTGCGTGCTTTGTATTTCCTTTCCCCAGGAACCACATATGGGACCCCCGCACTACCGGAGTGATTCCTGAGCACAGCACCAATAGTAGTGATTTTGTTTTGTTTTAGGCCTCACACCACCAGGTGAGGCCTAAAACAAAACAAATCAAACTCACCTGATCTTGATAAGCCCCTAAATCTCGATCAGTCCTTACAACTCCCTGACTTGGGGCTGTTTAACCTGGGAGTGGCTGCCTCAGTCAGGGAGATAGTACAGGGGTTAAAACTCTTGCCCTGCATGCAGTGGACCCTAGTTTAATCCTGGCACCCCATATGGTGTCCCTGGGCACTGCCAGGAGTGATCACTGAACACAGTGCCAGAAGTAAAACCTGAATACCACCAGTTGCGGCCCCAAAACTTAAAAAAAAAGAGAAGAAAAAGAAATAAAAGTAGCACCTACCTCTTGGAGTCTGGGGAAGCAGCTCAGTGACAGAACATCTGCTTCTGCCCTGGGTTCAATTCCTCTCACCGCCCCTCATCAAAAAACTAGAACCTAATTTATTTTTGTTTGGGGGCTAAGCTAGCCAATCAGAGATTTCTGACTGGGGCCAATCAGAGAATTCTTTTGGCTCTGCATGCAGGAATCACTCCTGGCAGGTTTGGGGGACCATATGGGATGCCGGGTATTGAAACTGGGTCAACTACGTGCAAAGCAAGTTCCCTCCTCATTGTACTATCTCTCCAGCCCCAGTAATATCTAATTAAAAAAAAAAACAATGTTTCTAACTGAACTTGGTAGGGAGGCTTTGTGTAGTGGAATGATGTATGTGCCTGAGCCATCACTGAACATTTTTAAACTTATAAAGGGGGCTGAGTCCTACATTCAATCTTCAGCACCACAGGGTTCCCCGGTACTGCCCACAACAACTTCTGATTGACAGAGCCAGGAATAGTCCCCAAACACTGCCAATAGGGCCCAAAAGCCAAACAAACAGACAAACAACCAAAAACAACAGGCAGGGGTGTGGGTGTGAGGTGACCCAGGGCTGGAGTGCATTTTGGCATGGTGGAGGCCCAGGGTCAGTCCCAGGCACTGATGGGAGTAGTCACCATGCTCTGCCGGGCATGGCCTGTAAACAAGTAAAAAAAGTAGGGCTGGGGACACAAGGGAGAGGTCCAGGGCTCAATCTTCAGCACCTTAACCCCCCCCCCCCCCCACACACACACACACAGTGATGGAGGACCTACCTCAAGATGCTTCGGGAGTACCAGACAGTTCAAAAGTGCCTAGTTCACACCAGTCCTCACACACAGACATGTGCATGTGTACATTAACCGAAGAGAAAACAAATAGCTATGTTGGAACTGACAGGTAGTTTTCAACGGTTCCTTTAATGGTACTGTTACAGTTTTTCAAAGTTTTTCAAAGTGTTTACTGCCGCCTGTGACTTCCACATCAAGGGGAGAAACTCTGTAAACACCATCTGCCAACCCAGATGCCATCTGACCCACAACCAACCAGGTACCTCCCCACAGAGGGTCGGTGGAGATGAGCACCCTGACCCGGACTGCACCCAACTCCACAGCTCACAGCCAGGGTGAGCTTTGCCCGTGAGTCTGCAGGGATGGACCCGATGGAGCACAGGGGCTGAAGCCCAGGGCCACGGTGTGAGGATGCCCAGAATCTCCGGGATCCGTCTGCTCACTGTTCACAGACGTGACTCCCGGCTCACAATAGGCCTTCCATGGCCTGAACCACCATGCGTGCCCTGGCACAGTACACATGTCACCAACCTCGGATGTCTAGCCCTCCACCCACCCCCAACTCTGCGCAAGGGCCTGCTCCAGTGTACCCCGCACCCAACTCACTTCCTGTCCCCAGAAATTCAGCTGGTCCCCTCAGGGCCCTCCCCGGCCATTCCCTCTACTTCCAACTGCTCTGGAGCATGGGAGGGGGGTAGTCTGATGGGCAGTGTGACCCCCTCTGGACCTTTACTCAGAGGGGTGGTGAGGCAGATGAGTAAGATACCCAGGTCAGGCCAGAGTGACAGCTCAGCGAGGAGGATGTTTGTCTCACACGAGGCCAACCCGGGTTTGATCCCCAGCATTCCATAGGCTCCCCCGAGCACTGCCAGGAGTGATTCCTGGGTGCAGAGCCAGGAGTATCCTCTGAGTATGGCCAGGTGTGACCCAAAAAGACACACACACACACAAAAGATAAATAAGGAATCATGGACGGTTCCCTTTGTTCCAGCGGGGCCCCTGCATTACAGGGAAGGAAGGAGGGTGTGCTTTGGGGTGTAGTGGGGTGGGAGGGCTCTCTGCTCACCATGACTCTCTGACTCTGGTGATTTTCTGATTGCAAAAGGGCTTGGGGCCAGGCCCAGGAGCCAGCATTATCAAAAACGAATATAAACCCCTCCTCCATTGTGTTTCCAAGGCCGGTGTTCTGATATTACCTTCCTGGGAGTTTCAAGCTCTCAGTGTCTAAGGGGCCTGTGCAGCCTAGTGAGCCATGGGGCAATGAAGCCCGTCCAGAGTGCTGCCACCTAGAGGCTAAGAAAGGGACTGTCAAGGCTGAGGCCTTGCCCTAAGCACACTTGGATAACCAGGTACTGGGCACCTTCCCCGCGGAACTCTGTGGGCGTTCATCCTACTGCATCTCATGAGAGCCCTGAGGGATAGCACCGTCAAAGGCCCCATCCGACAGGTGCCCCGCCGCATGGGGAAGTGAGGTGACTGAATCAAGGGTCTCACTGCAAGTGTGTGGGCAGCACTTGGATTTGAGGCAGATGGTGCAGAGAAGTGCACGGACCACGATCTTCCTCACCGCTCCAGCACAGAGATGTCAGGGGTTGCTCAGAATTACTGGACAGGAAAAGGTCTGGCAGGTAAGGGCTCCTGCTGGAACTGCTGGACCAGAGGCCACCCTAGGTGACCCAGGGCAATGGGCAGGACGGCCCACGCGTTCCTCTCCGGGAGCCTGACTGCCCGGTGGGACCAGCCGCCCCTGCACCTCTCTGGCCCAGCCATCTCTCTCGCCACCGCCTCTGTCTGAAATCTCAGCCAGAGGCCGCCCGACCCCAGGGCCCAGCGAGCTGCGGGGCTTTCCAGCAGGACAGGGTGGGGAAGACCCTCAAGTCTTCCCCCAGGGGCCCCAAGCCCGGAGGCGAGCCTGGGGCCAGGTCGTAGGAGCGAACACTGCGGACCCATCACTCGGAGGCCTGGATGTAGACAGGCACGGCGAGCATGGCACAGGGGCCCTCGGCCCCTGCCTGCAGCTCTGCCAGTGCCAGGTTGGAGCCCAGGCCCTCGGTGTGGCCGGGCACCACCAGCTCGGGCTCGCCCCCCACGGGACCCCCCACCACGATGGACAGCACAGCCTCGGGCTCTGGGAAGGGTGGCTTGCCGGGGGCGGCCTCGGGCCCCGGGCCTGGCTCCTTCAGCTCCTCGAGCCCCAAGGGGTCAGGCAGGGGGGTCCCCACCTTGCGTCCACCACTGCTGCCGCTGCGGGGGGCTGCCCTCCTGCGGGGGGGGCGTCGGGCTTGCAGGTCCTTATCTTTCGGGGGGCCCAGGCGGCAGCGGTGGTCCTTGAGGTATTTGTGGCGGGAGAAGCCCTTGGCACAGCCAGCGCAGCGGAACTTGTAGTTGCCCGTGTGGGCTCGCTGGTGCTCGGCGAGGTGGGCACGGCGGCTGAAGGACTTGCTGCACAGGGCGCACTTGTGGAGCTTCATGCCTGCAGAACGAGCGGGGGTGAGTGAGGGGCGCCCACCTCTGCGCAACGCAGCTCAGCTGGCAGGGTCAGCACCTATGGGATCGGGGCTCCCTCCAGCCCATCTCCCAGGCCCTGCTTGTGCCAGCTTCACTTCTCCATGGCTCCAAGCTGGCTCCTGCCCCTGGGCTTTTGCACCTGCTGCTTGTCCCCCCACCTCAACAACCTCCCAAACCCTCCACCCCTAAACCTCTACCTGGATGACCCTCGGCCTTCTCTCCGATCTTTTATCCCTAATGCTATCACACCCACAGGGCAGCTAGAAACATCTTCATAAAGCTCGAAGGGTTGTTGGGGTCAGGGCAATGACTCCAGGCGCTGTAGCATACGCTCTGCAGACAGAGGATCCAGATGTGATCCTTGGTACCATCTGATCCCCCTGAGCATTGCCAGGAGTGACCCCTACGCACCATGGCATGTGGCCCTCCCCAATCCTTCACCCGTAAGAAAAAAAAAAACAAAACCCTAAGCGTCAGAGTATCATGACATTTTCTGCTCTACACCCTCCAGTGAATCTCAAAATTTCCTGCAAGGTGATATGTGATCTGGCTGCCTCTGGGCCTCGGTCCCAGCCGCCTGTTCCAGTTTCTTAACTTGCTCTCTGCACTCCAGGCTTCCTGCCCACCAGGCCTTGTCTCAAGCACCTCTCCCTCTCCCAGTCTCCTCTCTGCCTCCAAGCTCTGCACTTGTTTCCTCACCTAGAACTCCTTTCCAAGCGCTTCTCTCGTTCCCTGGAACTCAGCTCTCACACCACCTCCTCGGAGGGGCCCTCCCTGATGTCACTCCCATCACCCACCACAATTCCTTGTCCCTGAGCTCTGCTTGTTCCCACCTTTGTTTCTGCTATACTTTTCTTTCACACACTAATCTGCCATTCATTGTCAATCTCTGCCACTAATACTCCGCTTTCCCAGGAAGGGGACAGACTTGGTCCTGAATCTCACAGGTTCCCGGCGGACATTGTGCACCACGTGAGGTCACTCCAGCCCACGCAGCCTGGGCCAGGGCCCCACTGGTCTTTCAGGGATGGAGCTTAGAAACTGTTAGAGATTTGCCGGGGGCGGGGGGTGGAGAGGAGAGGTGGGGGGGTCACCCTAAGAGGGCAGCAGTGCCAAGACTCTCCCACTTCATGAATTTTTTTTCATGGCTACATCCTTCCCGTAAACTGACAGTTCTTCACTGGGGGCCACTCTGCCCTCCAGGGGCATCGGACTGATCCTCTGGAGTCATCATTGGTTTCACAATTGAGGGGAGGATGCACCATTGGCAGCTAGTAGATGAACATCTGGAATGGGTGCTCAACACCCCAATGTACAGGGCACCCGCCTGTCCAACCCCACCTCCCCTGAGCCAGTAAAGACACATCGGGCCCACAGTGTCACCAGCGCTTCAGCTGAGAAAGATTCCAAAAGGAAGGTGAGCTTCCAAAAGGAAAGGAAGCAGCAAAGGAAGAAGTTCCAGGGGACCCCTACTCCATGCCCCAGCGGCCCTGCTCCGCCAAGGACTCTAGTGACAAGGAAAATAGGCCTTGTCACTTGACAGCCTGCTGGGCATTTCCAGCAGGCTGACACCAGCGAGCAGGAGCTGCCGAGGGGCAGCTGAGACAGGAAGACGTCTTGGGGAGTGCATTTGGGGTGCCTGGCGATGCCCCCAGTCTCCCCGTGTAACTGTGGGAGCCTGGGGATGTATGCCAATATGCTCATGTCCTCCAGGTGACCAGACACTGCTTTGCCAAACAACACGCTTGGACACTTCTACTCCTGTACTCTCCCACCAGCTGCCTGCAAACAGTCTGCTTCGGATGGTCTAGAATACAGAGCTCTTATCTTTATTTTGGGTTTGTTTTATTTTTTCCCTCTGGCTTTTGGGATCACACCCGGTGATGCTCAGGGGTTACCCCTGGTTCTGTACTCAGGAATTACTCCTAGCAGTGCTCGGGGCACGATATGGGATGCCAGACCCTGAAGAGTACAAGGCAAATGACCCACCCGCTGTACTATGGATCCAACCCTTTGTTTGGGGCCCAGTTTTTGAAGAACAAAGATCAACTGGGTCCACTGAGGAAATAAACAGGTGCTCTCCCACTTCTCAAAGCGTGCTGCTTGATTAGTCACTGGCACTTGGTGTGAACTTCCGCAGCACAAGGTGTCTTCCTGGCCAAGCCTGGGCCCCATCCAAGCCTGATCGTCTGCCACGTCTCATCTCCGTCAGCCGCTCAGGGACACTACGCTTATCACCTCTGCCTGGGGCACTGGGCGCCCACAGAGGCCTGGCTCAGAGGACCAGGTTGGAACATTCCAGCCTGGAACGACAAGCCTCGCGGGTCATGCCTGGTCTTCTGGCAGGGGGCTTGAGCTGAACCACCGTTCCGGCAGGGGACAAGCCACGTACCTGAGTGCGAGAAGATATGCGCCTTCAGCTTGTCCGGCCGGTTGAACTCCTTACTGCAACCTGTGTGTGACCTAGAACACAACAAAGTCACCAGTCAGGGGATGTCACTGAGCTAGGAGCCTCTAGCCAGCCCCTCCTTCCATTCACCCTGGCCATGAGGAACTCCTCTGTCCCTCCTAAAGGCTAAGCAAGGCGGCAGGGGAGGGAGTAAGCCAGGGCCGGACAAAGAAAGAAGGAGTCCAGAGGTCGCACTGAGTAGGGTGTAAGCCTTGTAAGCATAAGGTCATGAGTTCGATCCCCGGTACCAGCCCACACAGTCAAGGGCTATCCTAGCACCACTGCTATTTGTGACCCCCAGCACTGCCAACAAGTGTGTGATCTACCAAGTACATGCAAACACCACAGCTGAGGGTGCAACTTTGGGTCACTGCAGCACCAGCAACAATGGGAAGGGAAAGGGGGGCGGGGGGAAGGACAGAGACCCTCAGCCCTGCTCTTCTTCTGTCCTACCACGGCACAAAGCTTTGCTCATGCTCCCCCCCAACACACACACACACACACACACACACACACACACACACACACACACACACTCCGATCTCTACTCACGAGAAGGGGCATTTGTATTTCTTAAACGGCTCGTGGATCAGCATGTGTCTCTTCAGTTTGTCCTTGCGGTTGAACGCCGACTCGCACACTGAGCACTTGTAGGGTTTCTCACCTGTAGGAGGGACACCGGGGGGGACTGAGAGGAGACACAGGGGTCCCCAGGAGAGGGCAACAGCTCCTCTTGGGAGGCGGCCGAGGAACAGAGTGGCCTCTCCCCTTCCGCCAGGTCGTGGTTAGCCACGGACCGTTTCAGTCATCGCGACAGTCGGGAAAGGCAGCCGTGAGGGCAGTGCATGAGCAGAGACTCGAGGGACGAAGGTGCCAGGCTATGCTGACCCCAGAAAGTGGGGGGCGCCTGGTGTGTCTAAGGACCCACGAGGAGGCTAGTGTGTACGGAGCAGAGGGGGAGAGCAGGAGGGAGAGAGTGAGGGAGGTGAGCTGCCTGGCCAACAGAGGCGCTGCTGGCTGAGCCGGGGACTGGGGCTGCGCCTGTGGATGCTCCTGCAGGGGTCTGCACTCAGGCAGGTGGGCTCTGGCTGGAGCGTTCCCTGGACCTCTCAGTCTTCTCAGACAGAACGGATCAAGGTGGGTGATGGTGCAGGCAAGGGGGAGGCCCAACACAACAGTTGGAGTGGCCAAGGGCAGGTATGTCCAGAAAGCAGAACCATAGCCCTGACAACAGACTGGCTGTGAATCATGAATGGCCAAGGTACACGCAGAGGGACCGGGGACGGCTTGACAGAACGGGGGGGTCTACCCCGTAGGAATCACCATCACCTCATGGGATCCTTGCAACACAACCCAACGGAAGTGGGTACAACCTTTATAGAGAAACCAACTTACTGCTCCTCACCTACTGGACGGCTGCCACGGGAGCCGGGGCCCAGTGCGTGCCCAACACCTGCCTGTGGCGGAAGTTGCCCTGGGCAGGAGGAGGGCAGGAAAGCGAGAGAAAGAGCAGTGAGGGGCCCAAGGTTACAATCTGTGCTTTGGGAAAACAATCGTTAAGGGACTCTTTTGGTTTCCTGCCCTTATTTCCTCTACTCTGCTCATTCTCTGGAATGTCCTTTTGAAAAATTCCAAACCCCATGATTAAGGAAAGTCTGGCCCTTACAATGGAATGCTTTGAACTCATGAAAAAGATTCAGGCTGATCCATGTTTCCCTATCTGGAAAGATCTCCAGGCTACAGTGCAGGGGAAGAGAGGTCAGAAGGCTGCAAACAGTTTGGTACAGGGGAGTTTGCTTTTGTTTTCATTTTTTTGGTTTTGTTTTTGCTTTGGGGCCTCACCCAGCAGTGCTTGGGGATGGGGGGCTCACAACAGTGCAGACCAGGTACCTCCTAGCAGTGCTCAGGGGACACTGCATTGCCTACTAAGGATCAAACTGGGTCTCCCACACCCAAACCCTGCATTCAGCCCTTGACACTCTCCCTCTGGCCACAGTAGTGTTCTTGTTAGAAAAAACTGTGATTACCATCTTCCAAGAAATGCTTATCACTTGCATATACACAGAACACACAGGAAGAAAAGTGGGGCGGGACCCAAACCAAACTGTAGACCACAGGAAGGACTTGAGGGAGAAACGCAACATTTTCTTTTGTGTATTTCAATACTGCTTCCGTTTCACAATCAGTAAAAATGAATGATATTTGTTGAATTTTAATAATCTTTAAAACCATCAAGAGAGCAACTGGGTAATACCTATTCAAGTTACCAATATAGACGCTTTTTTTCTTTTTTCATTGTGATTGTATATACATCAAATTGACCATCATCTTGGGGAGGAATTTAATTCTGGGGTTCCACTCTGTGGTTAACATGGGATATTCTTGGTTCTGTACTCAGGGGTCACTCCTGGCAGTGCTCGGGGAATATGCAATGCCAGAGCCTAAACCAGGAGTGGCCACACGCCAGGTATGTGCCTTACCCCTTGGTCCAGAGCAATAGTACCTTGGGAAGGGCACTAGCCTGGCACAAGGCTAACCCAGATTTGCTTGTCTTAGACCCCACAGAGTTCCCTGAGCACCGCCAGGAGTAAGTCCTGAGCACTGCTGGGTATGAGTCTCCCAAAAATGAAAGTGTCTCATCCTCTGTACTGTATCTCCAGCCATTACTGTATCTCTGTAGAGATACAGAGGTACTGTGTCTCTACCATTTTTAAATAAGCAGTTTAGTGGCGCTGACACATTGACAATGGTGCATTCCACTGGTAGCTCACACTGAATGTGTTTATTGACCCGGATCGCAGTGCACCTTGAAATTAAGCACATCGGGGGCTGGAGTGATAGCACAGCTGGTAGAGTGTCTTGCACGCAGCCAACCCAGGTTTGATTCTCAGCATCCCATATGGTCCCCCGAGCACTCCCATGAGTGATTCCTGAGTGCAGAGCCAGGAGTAACCCCTGAGCATCGCCGGGTATGACCCAAAAAGCAATAAATAAATAAATATATAAATAAAACATCACCTAAAAAAAAAAAAGAAATTAAGCACATGTATGTTGTGATGCAGTCACCTCCAGTCCCAATCTCCAGAATGTTTCCTTCAGTTCCCTGAGTGCTGCCAAGAGTGGCCACTGTACATGGCCACCCCCAAAACGACAACTGACAGGCCAAGAGATACGGGGATTAAAGTTCTTCTCCTGCATGTGGCCAACCTCGGTGTGAATCCCCTGCACCACTTATGGCCTCCTGATTATCGTCAGGGCTCACTCCCTCGCACAGAACCAGGAACAGCCCCTGAGCACTAGAGGATGTGGCCCAAACCAACATCCCCAGACCAAGAACACCTCCAAAGTTTGAAAAAAAAAAGTTAAAACTAATGAAATGGAAAATATTGCTTTGTAAAACATATTTCAACATATTCTGTTTGTTCATGCATTTCTGAGGTTACAAAATAGGTCACAGTAAAAACAAACACTAGAGGGCTGGTGACGTGGATCTGTGGCAGAGCCTTTGTGACGCCCTGGAATCAATCCCTGGTGCCAGTAAAAAACAAAATAAACCATCCAAAAAACCAACTGGGCTGTCCATCTGATGGCAGAGGGTTAGGTTTTTATTATCTATGTTCTTGAATAGTCAAGGGTCTTTTTCTTCCCATTTTGCCAATCTTTAGAACCCTTTCAATTAAAAAACAGTAACTTTTTTTGGTTTTCGGTGGAGGTGCCCATATGCCCTGGTGCTCAGGGGTTGTCCTGGTGATAACTAGAGGACCATGCGGTAACGGAGAGAGATTCCAGGTCTCTCACGTGTAATTCCTGAATTCCAGTGTATTGAATCCCATATCACATTCAGGGGGTTGGAGAGATCGGACAGGAGGTAAGGCACTTTCTTTGCATGTTGTCATGGCAACTGCAGCCCCGGTTAGATGCTGAGTACCACATATGATTCCCTGAGTACCTCTAGGGACCACTCCAAAGCAGAGAGCTAGCCCCTGAGCACCACACGGTGTGGTGTGGTCCCCCCAAAATACTTTCAGATCAAGAGAAATCAAAGTGCTCCCACTTGGGCTCAGGGTGGTGAGAGAGGAGGCTGACACTCAGGGGGCTGAGCCAACAGCCCCCCAAGCTCCCAGGGGCTCTCTGCTCTAAGGCTGGAGGGGAGGAAAGAGGAGGAGATGATGGAGAAAGGGTGAGAAGGAAGAGGGCTGAGAGGGTTTGGGAGAGCGGATGGAGAGAGGCTCTGCAGACGTGGGAGGGGGTCAGGCCAGAGCTGGGGGGCGGATCCCCACCTGAGTGAATGTGTGCGTGCAGCTTGAGGTAGTGCTCCCGCCGGAAGAACTTCTTGCACACCTGGCACTTGAACCTGCCCCCGCTGCCATGGGTGGGCAGGTGACGCCGCAGGTAGCGTTCACAAGGAAACACCTGGCGAGAGAGAGGGTCCGATCAGACGCGACGCACCGGCCCTCACCATCCCGGTGAAAGTATGTGGTACTTTCCAGTCTTCTAGTCTCATGGTTCAGACCCGGAATGGCAGGCTCCGCCGTCTTCAGACCTCCAGGCTCCCCGACTCGCCCAGGGCCCTCGTCACAGCACAGCGGCCCCAGGCCTGGGCCCAGCCAACCTTGTCCTGAGAGCCTCCCTCTCCGCCTGACAGACTGCGAGCCAACTCAGGGGCCGGACAGAGAGCACCACATATGGTCTCCCGAGACCCACCAGGAGCAGTCCCAGAGCACAGAGCCAGGAGTAAGTCCTAGTCACAGTCAAGTGAGCACACACCCCCCCCCCCCCCCCCGGCAAACAATACAAAACAAAACACGAGCAGGGGTGTGGGGAACCTGGCGATGAATAGGAACTCTGGCTTCTATTAATTGCAATGTGTGTGGCTGAACATGACAACTTTGCAAAAAATGATTTTCTGAATGGAACTGGGGGAGGGGGTTAAGCCATACCTAGTGGTACTCAGGGTTACTCCTGGCTTTGTGCTAAGGAGCCACTCCTGGTAGTATTTAGGGAAGCAAACCAGGGCTGGCTGCATGCAAGCCAAGTGCTTGAACCCCAGTACTATCTCTCTTGTCCTTGATTTTGGAGTTTTTTTTGGGGGGAATCTAAAGGGGGTGGGAGGGGATTGGCCTAAGCCAGGGGTGTGGGGACTTCTCTTGGCTCTGTGCTCGAGGGTTGCTCCTGGCAGTGCTTAGGAAACCACGTGGTGCTGGGGATAAACGCAGCTGCGGTCCTTTAAGTTAGTGCCCAAGCCACGCGTCTGTATTGTTGGCTGGGGGCATGAGGGTGTTTGTGAAACCCAGGAAAGGGAACTGTGCTTGGGGGACCTGATGCTATCACGGCATCAGTTGTAGGGGTGGTCAGTGAAAAAACCGCGAGTATCAAGGAGAACAATGGTAACACATCCAGAAGCTGGAGACAGCTGGGCCCAGGACAGGCCTCAGTGCAGGTGGGCTGGTGGCTGGACCCAGCACCCCCTACAGCCCTCCACCCATGGCCACATCTGGCGTGTGAAGTCGCTGGGCCAGCGGGGCGAGCAGACTTCCACGAGGAAGCAGGGTCGGCGGAGATGGCCTCGTGGGCACCCACCTTCTGGCAGTGCGGGCAGGGGAAGCTGTGAGTGGCTGTCTGCAGGTGGTGCTCCAGGGCCTCAGGAGTGGAGTATTTGTTCACGCACTTGACACACCTGAGTGGAAGGAGCAGGAGATGAGGTGTGAGGAAGGAGGAGCAGGAGGTGTGGGGTGGGAGAAGGAGGAGAAGGTGAAGGGAGGAAGAGGCAGGCGGTGGGGGGGGGGGGAAGGAGTAGGCGGTGAGGGAGGGAGGAGCAGGAGGGGAGGGGTCAGGGAAGGCTGGACACGCTCCCTGACCACCCCCTTTGGCCTCCTAGGCTGAATCCTGTAGAATTCATTCTGCAGTGTCTGCTTTTTTGTTGTTTCTTTGCTTGGAGGTCACACCATACTCCTGGCTGTGCTCTGCAGACCATATGGGATGCCAGGAATTGAACGGGGGTGAACCTGGGTCGACCACATGCAAAGTAAACTACCGACCTGCTCTACTATCTCTCTGGCGCAGACTTGGCACAGTCTGATCCTGCTACTGAAACACTCTTTCCCAAGGCATCCGCGGGCAGCACCTACTGTCTTCACACCTCAGCGCCAAAGTCACTTCCCGAGATACCCTCCGAACCACCTTTATTTTCAGTTGCCCATTTGCCCCTGGAAATTCCCTATTATGTCTACAGTGTTTTGCTTGTTTTGGGGTCACACCCAGTGGTGCTCAGGGAACAGACTCTCTCGGCCTCAATGCTTCAGGAGACCCTCCAGTGTTGGGGATCAAAACAGGAAAACCTGCGAGCACAGTAAACACCATAACCCCTGTACTATCTTTTTTTTGGGGGGGGGGGGGCGGGTCACACCCATCTATGCTCAGGGGTTACTCCTGGCGGTGCCGTATGCAAGGCAAATGCCCTACCCGCTGTGCTATCGCTCCAGCCCCAACCCCTGAACTATCTTGACGAAGATATGATGCCAAACCTGAAGAGCTCAGAGCTACTCCCAGCTCTGTGCTGAGGTTCCAGGGACCCAAGCCAGGTCTCCTACATGGAAAGCAAGAGCGTCAGCCCACTGAGCTGGAGCTCTGGCCCTGGGATAGTTTTATTTTTTGACTCACTGGTTATTATCTACATCTGCTGCTAGCATGTGGGCCCTGGAGGCAGGAACTGCATCCGTTCTGTGGATAAACTGCCCTGATCACCACTGCGAATCTGTTATATGAAAGAGTTCAAAAAACAAGGCTCCAGGGCTGGCATCTTCCAAGCTCTGACCTCAGTTTCTTCATCTACCAAATGGGGTAAGAATCTCAAGTGGATCTGCCCTTCATACATTCTTTTTTGGATGTATTTGTGTTATTTCACTTTGGTTTTTTTGGGGGAAAGGCACACACCCTGCTGTCCTAGGGCCTTACTCCTGACTCTGAGCTCAGGGTTCCCCTCTAGCATTGCTTAGGTGACAATAAGGGGTGCTGGGGGATCAAATCCAGGTTGGTTGAGTGTACTATCTCTTGAGCCCCAACCTTCTTAAGATTGCCCCAACCTTCTTAATGTTGGGATGGGCTGCCTCCCCCCACCTCCCTTGTACTTCTGGAAGCCTTGGCAGTCACGTCCACATCCCAAAGCTGCTCCAACCCTTTGAGCCATGTTCTCAGCCAACCTTAAACTTGAACTTGAACCTACAGTTTAGGGCTGGAGGTGATACACTTGCTTTGCATGTGGCCAACCTGGGTTAGATTCTTAGCACTGCATATGGTCCCTGTGCCCCACCAGGAGAGATCCCTGACCACCACAGGGTATTGCCCAAAACACAAAATAAATTCAATTTTATATTATAAACAAACACATGCTACTTTTGACTTTGCTTTCATATTTGCTACGGTTGCAGAAATAGGACAGCAGATAGGGAGATGATTTTGCAACCAGCCAACCCAGGTTCAAGACCTTGAACCCAGATAATCCCTTGAGCCTTGCCAAAAGTGATCCCTGAGTGCAGAGCCAGGAAAAAGTCCTGAACTCTGCGAGGTGTGGTACAAATACTGACAAAAAAAATGTGCATGCTCTTTCTTTTATCATTTTAAGCACCAGTGTAATATCCTTAATGAAACCTTAATTTTGTAGATTATCAGGCCAAATACTATTTTCATATTTTTAGTTTAAAAAAAAAGCCTGGGGCTGGAGCGATAGCACAGAGGATAGGACGTTTGTCTTGCATGTGGCCGACCCGGGTTCAATTCCCAGCATCCCATATGGTTCCCTGAGTACCGCCAGAAGTAATTTCTGAGTGTAGAGCCAGGAATGGTCCCTGAGCATTGCCAGGTATGACCCAAAAAGCAAAAAATAAATGAATAAAATTTTAAAAAATTAAATAAAATTTAAAAAAAGCCTTCGGGTTGGAGACACAGGACAATAGGTCGGCACTTGCCTTGCATACGGCCAACCCGGGTTCAATCCCTGGCATCCCTTATGGTCTCCCGAGGCCCACCAGGAGTGATCCCTGAGCAGAGAGCCAGGAGTAAACCCCACGCACCACTGGGTATGACCAGAAGTAACAATCTGAACATTGTTGAGTGTGGCCCAAAAATAAAAAATATTTAAAAATTAAAATATATACATATTTTAAGTTTTTCTTTAAGTCTCCACTATTATCAAGGAAAAATTAGTTTCTCTTTTGGACAACACTTTTTCCAAAGGTCTGCCATGTTGCAGGGTCCAAGCCACAGTATACAACAATTATGATGCTTGCCTTGCACGAAGCTGACCGAGTTCGATCCCGAGCATCCCACACGGTCCCCCAAACCCTGCCATGCAGAGCTAGGAGAAAGTCCTGAATACAGCCCGGTGAGACCCTGACACCCCACAAACACAGACAAAAAAAGTCTTGCAGATTGAAGAATAACAGCAGGAGACTCAGCATCTTTCCCTCCCCACTAGCACCAAGGCCCTGAAGCCACTCTGCAGATGGCGCCTGACTTCCCATTAAGGTGTCACACTGGTGCCACGCAATCAGGGGCTCCTGGCGAGGAAGGGACTTGGCAGGGGGCTGAGGGTGGCCACACGTACGTGTAGATGGCACTGTCCTTCTGGGGGCTGTGTTGGGGGGGGCACGTACTTGTAGACGGCACTGTCCTTCTTGGGGCTGTGCTGTGGCAGGAGGCTGTGAGAATACTGGTGCACGCCCAGGTCATAGAGCGACGGGAAGTCCTTGCCACAGAGGTGGCAGCGGTAGCTCAGCTCCTCCTGGTGGCTCTTGATGTGCTCCAGAAATGTGTCCAGTTTCGGGAACGTCTGGGCACAGCTTTTGACCACACACTTGTACACCTTGAAGGAAGAGGCAGGCAGGTGAAAGGCAAGGGGTGTATTGCTAGGGGTTGGAGCCCAGCTTGATTCTCTCCCAGCTCTGTGCTCAGGGATCACTCTTGGTGATGTTTGGGGGGGACCAGGTGAGGTACTGGGGGTCGAACCCAGGTCAGATGTATGCAAGAAAATGCCCTATCCACTGTACTCTTGCTCTGGCCCCCCACTGCATTCTGATCAGAGGGACCGCTCCTCTCTGCCAGGTGATCCACAGGAGCTCATATGGCATGTCCAATTCCACGCTCTCCTTCCTCACAAAGCGATACCCAATTAGTGGTCATGTACCCTGTTGAAACATGTGATTCCATGTTAACCCTTATTTTTTGGGGGGGAGGGTACGGGGGTCATACCCAGTGATGCTCAGGACTTACTCCTGGCTCTGTGCTCAGGGATCACTCCTGGAGGGACTCAAGAGACCATATGGGGCTGCCAGGGATTGAACCCTGGTTGGCTATGTGCAAGGCAAGCGCCCCACTTCCTGTACTATGGCTTGGGTCCTGTGAACCTTTTCTTGCCGATGATACATAGGTAGGCAATATACAGGGGAACAATCACTCCCAGAATTAAAGGGCGAAAGGATTCTCCTTGCCCTCCTCTGCTTTGGGCATTTGTCCGGCTGGAGGTGCAGTAGTCATTCTGCACCCGAGGCTGAACGTTCGTGGTAAGGACAGCAGAGCAAAAAGACAGAAGAAGCTGGAGTTTCCCCCTACTTAAGGACCCCCTGTGATAGGAGGTAAATAAAACTCTAACCACTCAGTGCTCCACTGTCTGCGGAGTTACAACACATTCCTAAACTCGGGGGAATGACTTCCTGACTCCTTAAAAAAGACAGAAAAGCTGGCCAGTCCCTATTGTTTGTGGGTGACAGTGTCCCTGGAAAGAGTGTCACCTAGAAAGAGCAACTGCCGCCGAGGAGGGTAAATTGCACCCAGTTGCGGAGACAGAGCTAGTGGGACGCAGGGCCCGTGACTGAAGCCACCTGCTCAGCCTGCAGCTGCCCTCACTAAGGCTTTCTTGTTATGTGAAACGACAATGTCCTAATTACTGAGGTCAGCTGAACTCGGTGTTTTCTGTGACCCCTAACTGCAGTTCCTCTGACTCTCTCCTGTCTTAAAGAAAAAAGGCAGAGATGTGGACAAAGATGTGGTCAATGATGACCACCACAGTTTCGCTGATTGTGGGAAAACTCAGGAAATAAAAGTTCATCAATAAGGCAGGGTTGTTTTTTTTTTTCTCTTTTAGTTTTTTGGGCCACACCTGGTGGTACTCAGAGACCACTCCCACTCTGTGCCTAAGGATCGCTCCTGGTGGTGTCTGTGGGGCCATGCAGTGCCCAGGATAGAGCCCAGCCTCCTGGAAGAAAAGCACATGGTCAGCCCATTGGGCTATTTCTCAGGTCCAACAAAAGAAAAAAAAAAACTGTTAGCTGAGAATGTGGATCAGTTGATAGAACACCTATTGACATTGCCACTGAAAGTGATGTTGGGGCTGGAGCGATAGTATAGCGGGTAGGGTGTTTGCCTTGCACGTGGCTGACCCAGGTTTGATTCCCAATCCCCCAACCACTGCCAGGAGTAATTCCTGAGTGCAAAGCCAGGAGTAATCCCTGTGCATCACACTGGGTGTGACCCAAAAAGAAAAAAAAAAGTCATGCTTTGGGGGGGGTCAAAAAGACAGCACAGGGGTTACGGCACTTGCCTTGCACAAAGCCAACCCTGGTTCAGTGCCAGCACCACAATGAACTTGGTTCAATGTTCCCTGAGCATTACCAGCAGTAATCACTGAGTAAGCCCTAAGCACAGCTGTGGTCTAAAATCTATATATATTATATAGTTAAAAAATAGAGACAGGAGAAAATACCCATAACAAACTTGTAGGTTGTGTGTGTGTGTGTATGTGTGTGTAAGACAGAAAGAGAGATACTGGACTGAATCCAGGATTTCCCATGTGTGAAGCATGTGCTCTATAACAGAGCCACAAACTCAAACATCTGAATATAAAATTTGGTTAAAGCTTCCTATGAGAAGGCCTGGAGCAATAATACAGTGGGTAGAGTGCTTGCCTTGCACACAGCCAACCCTGGTTCAATCCCCAGCACCCCATATGGTGCTCTGAGCCCGCCAAGAGTGCTCCCTGAGCACAGGGCCAGAAATAAGGCCTGAGCACCACTCAGTGTGGCCCAAAAACAAGCAAACAAAACACACACACAAAAAAACAAAACTTCCTGGGTCGGAGCAATAGTACAGCGGGTAGGGTGTTTGCCCTGCATGCGGCAGACTCGGGTTCAATCCCCAGCATCCCATATGGTCCCAAGCTCTGCCAGGAGTAATTCCTGAGTGCAGAGCCAGGAGTAACCCCTGAGCATCACTGGGTGTGACCCAAAAAGCAAAACAAACAAACAAATAAAAAAAAACCTTCCTATGAGGGTCTGGGGAAATAGCCCAAAAGGCTATTCCATGATTTGCATGTGAGAGGCCCTGGCTTGAACCCTAGTACCAAATAGTGCTCCTTGAGCACTGCTAGGCTCTTCCCCCAAAAACTTCCTGTGAGAGCTGGAGAGGTAGTTCAGCAGTAGAGTGCTTGGTTTGCATGTATGAGGCCCTACATTTGATGAAAGAAAGAGAGAGAGAGAGAGAGAAGGAGAGAAGAGAGAGAAAAAAGAAGGACTGCTGGAGTGACAGCACAGCAGGCAGACACTTGCCTTGCACATGTCTGACCTGACACCTCATGTGGTGCCCTGAGCCCACCAGGAATGATCCCTAAGTGCCAAGCCAGGAGTAGACCCTGAGCATTGCCACCACGAGTGGCCTAAAAACACTGTTGCACTGTCCTCCCGTTGTTTATCGATTTGCTCGAGCGGGCCCAGTAACGTCTCCATTGTGAGACTCGTTGTTACTGTGTTTGGCATATTAAATACGTCATGGTAGCTTGCCAGGCTTTGCTGTGCAGGCAAGATACTCTCGGTAGCCTGCCGGGCTCTCCAAGAGGGGCGGAGGAATTGAACCAGGTTCGGCCAGGTGGGCCGCATGCAAGGCAAATGCCCTACCTGCTGTGCTATTGCTCCAGCCCCAACCTAAAAACAATAAAATAAAATATAAAAAGAAAGAGAGAGAAGAGAAAGAAAGAAAGAAAGAAAGAAAGAAAGAAAGAAAGAAAGAAAGAAAGGAAAAGAGGGACTAGATAGTACAGTGGGTAGGGCACTTGTAAGTGTAAGTGGACAACCTGAGTTCTATCCCCAACACCCCATATGGTTCCCTGAGCACACTAGAAGTGATTTCTGAGCACAGAGCCAGGAATAAGCCCTGAACACTGCCAGATGTGGCACCAAAAGAAAAAAATAAAAACAAAAGAAGGGACAAAAAGGAAAGAAAGAACTCTAAATGAAAGGAGCCAGACACAAAAGGTTACATAGTGTAAAATTCCAAATATAGCAAATACCCAGAAGAGATAAATACGGAAAGAGAGAAGAAAGACTGATTCTCAGGGGCTGGGGGAATAGGAGAATGACTTCTCTTAGGTTAGTTCCTAAGAAAAGACTTTTCTCTTCTTAGTTCCTTTCTCGTTGGTAAAAATGTTCTGGAATTAAGACAGTGGTGCTACTTGCATACATTTATGAATATATTAAAACCCATGGCAGTTGACATTTTCATAAGGTAATCAATTGGGGCTAGAGAGATAGTACAAGGGTTATAGTGCTTGCCTTACATGTGGCTGACCCCATCTGACCCCCAGCACCGAACATAGTACCGAACACCGCCAAGAGAGATACCTGAACACAGAGCCAGGAGTGGTCCCTAAGCATGGCTGAGTGTGGTCTAAATCCCACACTACCAAAAAAAAATTCCCATTGGTAGGATTTTATACATAAGATCCCAGGGTATTAAGCACTTTCCCTGGGCTAGAGCTGCTAGCTCAATGGGCTAACACATGCTTTGCACGCAGGAGTCCTCAGTTTGCTTCTCATCACCACCACACATTCTGAACTCTGCTAGGAGTGATGCTTGAGCACAGGAGTGAACTAGATGTGACCCAAACACAAAAAACTAAGAAGAAGCTTTGCTGCATGGGATTCTTCCTATGGGTCCCGAAAGCCAGGCTTCCTCCCTCGGACTCCTGACACCGTGGCTGAGTAAACCAGGGCCCCTGCAGAGCAACGAGAAGGAAGCCTGGTGTGTGCTCAGAGCAACCACGGCCCACACATGTCCCTTCTGGCCTAGATTCGGGTCACTGTGTGGTCTGCCCCACCTACCTGCTCATTCTTATGCTGGGTCATGTGGGACTTGAGCTGGAAGTAGGTGTTGAACTTGTTGGGGCAGAACTGACACAGGTAGGAGCTATCGATGAGGACCACCTGCTTGGTCTCCAGCTCGTCCCCCTCCTCCTCGCTCGCTGCCTGCAAGGCCTGGGGTTGCGGGGCGCTGGACAGGCTCTGGCCCAACCCTGGGGAGAGGCAGAAGAAGAGTCAGGGCGAGAGCCAGGCGCCCCGGGAAGGGCTCAGCCACCCCACCATCTGCCCTCCGCTTGGGCTGGCCCGCACCTGCAGCTGGCGTGCACCGCCCGGATGGGAGAACGCTCAACTGCTTCCACCCCACCCCACCCCCACCCCCGAGAAACAGCAACTGCTTAGCCCCCGCCTGGCCCTCCCCTCAGACTGAAAAGTGCCGAACACGACTCTGCGCTCATCACGCCCCCTCAGCTCCTGCTTCTAGTCACAGCCACCTGCTCAGCCACCTCCCCACACTCTCAGGAGGAGAGGGGGTCCACCCACACCCTGTCGGGTCCCGTAAGTGGGTGCTAAATGGCCCAGCCCTTGTCGCTGGGGACTGCAAGGAGCTTCCAAAGGCAAGGAGCCCAGGAGCCCTCGGGAGGCTAGCACCCACGGGAGGAAAGCAGCTCTGGCCCTACGCTGTCCAACACGCTGATCACGAACCACACATGGTAACCGGAAATGGGGTCAAACACAGAAGTATCATGCATGAAAAATACATCGGGTCTTCTGAGGAGTTACAATAAAAAAATGAAAACAAGTGGCAAATTAATAAATAAGATAATGAACAGGACAGGTGGTGGCTCAGTGGCAAAGCACACGCCGAGCATTCAGTCCCCAGCACCACCACAACAAAATGTAAACAACTTCATTTTAATACTTCACTTGCTAAAATATTATTGTGTTAAGTTAAATAAAGTGAACAAAATCACAATAAAAAACATTGGTTTTCTGCAACATTTTGCAGGGGAATGCAGTTACACCCAGCAGTACTCAGGGCTGACTCCTGGCTCTGTGCTCAGAGATCACTCCTGGCTGGGCTTGGGGGACCCATTCAGGATGCCAGAGATTAAACCTGAGTGAACTGTGTGCAAGGCAAGAGCCCAATCCAATGTACTATAACTCTGGCTCCTGTTTTCTGTAACTATTTGAAAAAGGGAAATACATAGCTCATACTACATTTTATTGGACAGCATCTAGATCTCAGAAGCCTTCAACCTGCATGCAGGAGACGCATTAAACCAAAACCAGGACCGTGAACTCAGGGACTAATGGTGCCTATCAGACCCCTACTAGGGAGAAAGGACTTTGGAGGCCACAGCCTGTGAGGCCAGACAGGTTCCAGATTCCCATCCACAGAGGAGATGTCTGTAGTGATCTCCTGAACACAGATTCCCAGGCAGCACCGAGATTCTGCCAGACTCAGGTGCTGGGTGATGCCTAGCCTGGGGAAGATGCTAGTGACGCGGCCGGGTGGGGTTTCTGTCTTTCCCTCTGATCATCCCATGCTTCATTTTCCCAATGCAGGAGAAGGGAGCCCAGAGAGGCCAAGGAGGCTGCCAACGGTCACACAGCTAAGCAGCTGGCTCCCTCCAGGAAGCCATGGAAGAGGCTCTGGAGAATATGTTCCCCCTTCCCCCTGTTTCGACGCACCTGTGCTTTCCTCCTCCTCCTGACTGCTGGGGTTCAGAGCCATGACCTGGACGGTGACGGAGTTCCGGGAGACGGTGCCCCCGCTGCGCCCCGGAGGCCACACTTTGTGGGTCTGCATATGTTTCTTGACGTTGGACTTCTGGGCAAAGGCGCGCCCGCACGCGATGCACTGGAAGGGCTTCTCGCCAGTGTGGCTGTAGGGAACAAGCCCACTCACTCGCAGCTCTCCAACCCTGGCCACCAAAGAGGCTCAGACTCAGCCTCCAGAGGGGGTTGCCCACCATGCTGCCACAGCGAAAAGCCCCCTGCTGCAAGCAGACCAGCGACAGGCAGACTGAAGCACCAAGTGACGTCCCAGAGCTGTGGAATCCACCAGCCCTGCTGCCTCCCTGCTCTGGCTACTTCCGATTATGAGATAAAAACACTTCCTAGTTCTCTAAGCCCATTCAGACAGGAACCACTACCATTGGGGCTTTTGTTTGGTTGGTTTTGAGGCGGTATTGGCGGTGCTCAGAGATCATTCCTAACTCTACACTCAGGGATCACTCCTGGTGCGGCCTGGAGGACCAGATGGGGTGCTGTGGATCAAACCTGGTCTGGACGCATGCAAGGCAAGCGTACTATCTCTCTGGGCCTGTTTGGTCTGTTGGGGCCTCTGTTGTTGTTGTTGTTGTTTAGTTCTTTGATCACATTTGGCAGCACTTGGGGCTACTTGCAGCTGTGTGCTTGAGGATCACTCCTGGTGGTGCTTAGTAACAGGGACCAAACTAGGCTCAGCTGCAAGTAAGGCCTTAAAATGTAAAGTCATATGTAAGGATACAATAAAACTGGGAAGAGTCACCTTTCAGAGCTTTTCACTGCTCTAGACGCAAAGTAACAAGAATCTCAAGACTCATCCAGGTCCACTCTTAAGACGCACTAACCAAGTCATCCCCGCCCCCCACTGGAGAAGAGAAACCTCGAGTGTCCTTGGGATGAGCAGAGTCACATGGGGAGTGGGCAGGGCCTATAGTCACAGCAGGCCGGAGACTCCCACAGGCCTACCATGGCCCTATGGCTGCCTGGACAGTCTTCCTGGCTCTGGAGTGCTCTGAAGAGCAGGGCCTAAACACAGCACCGGGCTCTGACAGGCCCTGGCAGATGAAGGGGCTGAGAAGGGCGATCTGTGTTCACTGTGAAGGCCCCCCCAGAGCCACCTGCCCCCATGCCCAGTACCTTCGGATGTGCTGCTGCAGGTCGAAGTTTTTGGTGAATGACTTGTCACAGTATGAGCACTTGAGTTTCTGCGCCTTTGGCTTCCCTGCAGCTGAAAGATGGGGGGGGCGGGGGAGGGGGAGGGCAGGTGAGGCTGGGGCACAACAGAGGGTGCCCAGAACCACGTGCAGCCACCCTACTCAGGGACCCAGGGCTACACAGCCCCACCCAGGCAGTGGAAATATATGCATGCACCCCACCTGGCCTGCTGGCCTGCAGAGGAAAGTCAGGACATGCTCAGGGTGCGAGAACAGGGCAACCTCTAAAAGTTTTCCCAGCCCGAGGCTCAAGCCTGACTCTGCTGTCTTCAGGGCACTGCATCCTCTGCTTCCTGCCATCCTCATCGCTCCAGTTTGGCTGAACCCTTAATATAGTCAAGCATGGTCCAACCCAGGCCTGGAAGAAGGCTGACCCCTCCAGTATCTACGAGGCCTTTCCTTTCATCCCCAGATGGTCGGGGGCCAGTACTTCCCAGCTTTCCTCCAGATCACGACATCCTGTTCATCCTCCCGCAGAGCTGTCTTTCTCCCTCTTTCCCTGTCACAGGGGCAGACAAATCCCAAGCAACAGTGCCGGCTCCTAAGCGCCAGCTGCACCCGCACACATGCTCAGCAAGTGTTTCAGAGGAAGGAAAAAGGGCTAACTGGAGAGCTTCTGCAATTTCAGTTTCTCTCCCCCTGTTGCCACTTTGTTTGTTTGTTTGTTTGGGGTCCACACCTGGAGGTGCTCAGGGCTTATTTCCGTCTCTGCACTCAGGAATCACTCCTTCTAGGCCTAGTAGACCACATGTGGAGTGGGGAACTGAACCCAGGTCGGCTGTGTGCAAGACTACCTGCGGTACTATTGCACTAGCCCCTAGTACCACTTTCAAAGCTTGCCCCCCACCCCTAATCTAGCATCTCCAAAAGGGCGGAGGGGTAAACATCAATATCCATATATCCATTCTCCCCTTCTTTCCTCACAAATCTTTTTCAAAATGTTCCTCACTAAGGCACTTGCCAGCTTCCTTTGCAGCTACATATGGTCCTATGACAAAGTTTTGGCCAAAGAGATCTAAGTAAGAGTCTGGAAGCTAAGATATCTCTTATTGGTGCATATGAAATAGTACAGCAGGAAAGGGACTTGCCTTGCATGCAGCTGACCCGAGCTGGATCCCTGGCATCCCATTTGGTTCCCCAAGAACCACCAGGGTGAGTCCTGAGTACAGAGCCAGGAGAGTAGTAACCCCTGAGCATAATTAGGTGTGTGGCCCAGAGAGAAAGAAAGAAAAAATCCTAGCCATTAGAAAAGGATAAACTAGAACTTGGCAGCCTGTGGACAGCCACAGCTGCAAGATCTGGTGGCAAGCTGCGGGCACACCTTCTTGAAGTCCATTGGTCCCCTTGGCCCGCCGGGTCTTCAGCACTGGCGAGGAGTCAAAGGCAGCCACTGCGGTGCCTGGAGCACTGGTCATGGGGGCAGCAGGGTTTGGTCCTTTTGGTTTGAATCCCTGTTTGCCGGGGCTGTACACTGGTGGTGCGGGGTACACCGGCGCCTCCACACACTGGTTTGGCACCTGGAAGAACCGCACACAGTTAGGGATGGAGTCCTGGGACAGCAGGACAAGGGCCGCCTACGCCCACAGCAGCGTCCTCCCATGGCCCGGCAGATTCCACTCCCCATTCATGGTCGTCATCCCTGTCACTTTAGGACCCCTGAGAAGCCAGCAGAAGAGAAGCACCCAGGAACCAGGCCGCTGGGCCTCAGATCATGCCTCAGTCACATCTACCTCACTTCTACCCCCAAAAATAAATCACATTCCAGTCTCCCCTGCTTTCCTTTCATCACTGAATAATTTTTATCTTTATGAAGGCAAGGGCTTTTACTCTGCTTTTAATTAAATACTACAGCCCGGGGGTATTTGCCTTGCACGCGACTGACCCAGGTTCAATTCCCAGCATCATATATGGTCCCCTGAGCACCACCAGGAGTAATTCCTGAGTGCAGAACCAGGAGTAAACCCCTGTGCATTGCTGGGTGTGACCCAAAAAGAAAAAAAAATTGATTAAAAAAAAATTTAATGCTCCAACCCAAGACCCCTGCTTGGCAGAGAGTGGGCACTTAATTGTGGGTTCTGAGGGCATGACCTCACTTTAGCAGATATGGAGCCAGCAGGGGCACCCACCAGACCTTGCCTCACTCCCACACCCTTGGTTCCCCCAACACAGAGGGCAGGCAGCGAAACACCACATTCCTTTTTGGTTTGTTTCTTCTTCTTTTTAAAATCTATTTATTTATTTACTTATTTATTTATTTTTAAACACCACAGTCCTTAACTCTCACAGCTTGTTTCAGACTGGTTTCTGCTTGCGTCACAGAAACACCAATGACAATCTGCAGGGTGGGAAGAAGGGGGGACCTGTCCTCCTGCAGCAGCTGCCCTGGAGAACAGGCAGGCTTGTGACCTCTGTCCATCAGCCCTGGGAAGACTGGGCAGCTGAACAGCCGCCGCAGAAGTGCCCAGGCCAAATGGCAGCAGTGACCGCATGCTAAAGCCAGTGCCTGCCCGCCCGCACTGGGCTAGCTCCTCTTGCCCCATGAGTGGGTTCTATCGTTCACATCACCCGGGTTCTATCGTTCACATCACCCGTGGGCAGAGCCGTGACTGTGCTAGGTTTAGGCCCCATCCTTGCACCAGCTCTGACCGGGGAGGCCCTGTCTCAGAGAGAGCAAACAGAGGCCAAAGGGCACCGGACATAGCGAGGTGCAAAGAACGCCCAGTCAAAGATGACCTTGCTTCTGCCCTCAGAAAGCTCCAGGGTTCATGCAGAAATAAAAAAGGGCAGTCTGCTCTGTGCGGGGCCCTTCTCTGCCCACTGGGCCACCCTCATCCCCTCGGTGGCTTTATTTCCTTTTGAAATGGAACCCAGTCCAGAGTGAGGCTTGCTTTATCCTCCCCGGCGAGCACAGATAAGAGAGGCTCTCATGATACCAGATGGGGCAATTTACCCACTGATCTAGACAGACGGACTAATGTATGGTGACAGACAGACAGATACCACCTGGCATGGGCTGTTGCTATGGGAACTTCCTAGGGTGAGTGGGACCTAAAGGGGACCTAACATGTACACAGGGATCTCCGCCACCACTGTCTCGGGGAGTGTCCATTGAGGGACTGGAGAGAAGGTGCCTATGACTCAGAGATCCTCGGCAGGGCTCAACACGGCACGTACAGCACCCAGGTTACACAGTGGCCTCAGATGTCCTTTACCGTGCCTTGTCTCCGTGCCTGCCGCGGTGTGGCTTGGCAGCTCTTCCCACTGCGAGGGACACCTCCTTCCCTATCCATTTAGTCCCCACTGGTCTGGCCTATGGCTCTGACTGACTCAGAAGCTTGCGTGTGACTGACAAGCTTCCATGCCAAGGGGCCCCGGGTGCTCCGGCCTTCTTACTGCAAGAACAGGAGGGATGCTGGGGACAAGACCGGGGCACCCACTGTACTCACAGCCATGAGTACAGGAGAAATGCACGGGGCAGCGCCAGGTGCCCACTCGCCCCGCCACTTGCTCACAGCCACCAGCGAGCCACCTACACGTATGTACGTGGGTGAGCGCGGCCAGGATCAGCACTCGGCTAAGCTGATTATGAGAATCACAAATGCTTTTTGGCCAATCACCGCTGAGTCTCTGTGGTTGTTTCTTGCACAGCCACACTGCACCGATTAAGGTAAGAGAGACTCGTGCAGATCGTTATTTAAAATCCTGCCCACCTGGAACCGAAGCAAACAGTACAGCGGGGAGAGTGTTTGCCTTGCATGTGGCTGACCCGGGTTCCATCCCCGATATCTCCTATGGTCCTCTAAGTACCGCCAGGAGTACTTCCTGAGTGCAGAACCAGGAGTAACCCCTGAGCACTGCCAGATGTGGCCCCAAACCCCCAAATAATAATTAAACAAATAAACAAAATCTTATCCCCAAAAGACAGGCAGTCCCTGAATGTTCTCCCTAAGCACTTCCTAAGGGCAGCTCAGCATCTGATACTTTGTACCACGTTCTCCCCATCTGAGTTTCCATTTTCAGGGGGGATGGTTTGATTCAGGTCCTCTCGCCATGCGGGAGGATTCTGTGAGAGGAGCCAGCAGGTCTGCTTTTGTCCCCCATGAGCGGCATCTCCAGTCACGCCCAGCTCACAGTCAAGTTTACTCATGATGACCAGGACCAGTTATGTCCCAGCCCCCCAGCACCGGGTCCCCACTCACCTCCAGAGGTGGGTAGGGCTGCATTCCCAGCGCCTGGATCTCCACCGTCGCATTCCCAGCTAGGGGTGCCGCGGCACTGTACACTTCCACCACGCCATTCCCACCAGGGTTGGTTCGCCCTGGGGGACCCAGGCTCTGAGGTGGTGGGGGCGGGGGCTGAGGAGGGGGCGGTGGGGGCAGTGGCGGAGGAGGTGGAGGGGCCGGCGGAGCCTGGGTGAGGTAGCTGGGTGCAGGATGCATGTTCAGGCTGCTCTGAAATTAGAAAAGCAAAGTGAAGGCACAGCGAGGGAACAGTGGGGACGGCACTTGCCTCGCATGCCGCCGACCCTGGTTTTATCCCTGGCAGGCCATGCGGTCCCCCGAGTCCTGCCAGGAGTAATCCCTGAGCACAGAGCCAGAAGTAAGCTGCCAGGTGTGGCCCAAAAAGAAAAAAAGAAAAGTCGCCTGACAACCAACATCTTGTTGAGCCACCCCACCCCACCTCACCCCATAAAAAGGGCAAGTTTTAGCATAATGCATATGATGACCTGTTTAGATAGACACACCTTTCAAACATATAAACATAGTGACATAAAAAGCTGTTTTGGGGCCAGAGCAACAATACAGTTGGGTTGGGTACTTACCTTGCATGCTGCAGCTAACCCAGTTTCAATCCCTAAGACCTGGTACCCCAAGCCTGCCCAGAGTGACCCTTGAGCACAGAGCCAGGACTCAGACACAAGCACCGCTGGGTGTGGCCCAAAAGCAAAAACAAAAGCAAAAAGCTGGGGGGCTGGAGCAATAGCACAGCAGGTAGGGCATTTGTCTTGCACATGATTGATCCATGTTCAATTGCCAGAATCCCACATGGTCCCCTGAGCACCTCCAGGGGGAACTCCTGAGTGCAGAGCCAGGAGTTACTCCTGTGCATCGCCAGGTGTGACCCAAAAATTAAAAAAAAAAAAAAAAAAAAAAAAAAGAAGCTGTTCCTATTTCTCTTTGCATTCAAAGACCAGGAAGGCCAGACACCAAACTTTTAGCATTATTTTCTTTGGGTGGAAGAACGATGGGTGGTTGAGTAACTGATTTCTCAAGGTTTTTTTGTTTGTTTTTGTTTGTTTTGTTTTGTTTGGGGGCATACCAGCAATGCTCAGGGGTTACTCCTGGCAGGACTTGTGGACCATATGAGGTGCTGAATATGGAACCCGGGTCAGCTGCAAGCATACCTACTATACTGTGGTTCTAGCCCTAATAGGCATTTTGGGAAACTTCTTTCATATATTTTCTCATGCTTTTCTAATGAATGTGGGAACACATCAGTGCTATGCACATATGGGCACCACTCCCAGGAGAGCTGGTCTGACAGGTTCTAGGGTCCACTGGGACTGAGTTATCCCGGGGGATCTGGACTTGTCCTCAGGGCCTCTGCATGCAAAGCAAGTACTCCACTGCCCTGAGCCAAGTCTTAGTGGAAGGGAGGGGCATAGCAGTGGGAGGGGGCTAGGCCACACTGGTGGGATTTAGGCATCTACCCACTGTGCTATCACTCCAGCCCCGACATGATGCTTTTGAATTGAAATCAATTCCTTCAACATGCAGGAATTGAACCTGGGCCTCCAGCATGCAGAGCATGTGCTCAGCCCACTAGGCCATCTCTCTGGTCCCAGGAACACCTGTTTTTCCCTTGTTTTAAATTTAGAGACTACTTTATTAGTTTCTACTATCAAACTCATGTGGTTAAGAATGCTTTAAAAGGGGTTGGAGCAATAGCACAGCAGGTAGGGCGTTTTGTCTTGCATGTGGCCAACCCGGGTTTGATTCTCAGCATCCCATATGGTCCTCTGAGCACTGCCAGGAGTAATTCCCGAGTGCAGAGCCAGGAGGAACTCCTGTGCATCGCCGGGTGTGACCCAAAAAGAAAAAGAAAAAAGAAAAAAAAGAAACCTTTAAAACAATTTTTTTGGGGGGAAGGAAGAATTTGGGCCTCACCTGGTGGTGCTCAGGGGCTACTCCATGCTCTGGACTCAGCGCTTACTTTTAGCAGGGCGGGATGACCTTATGGGACGCCAGGGATTGAAGAAGCTGGGTCGGAGTAAATGCATGCAGAGTAAATGCCCTACCCACTGCACCATTGCTCGGGCCCCCAAGAATGCTTTTACAGTTTTATTTTATTTATCTTTGAGGTTTTCGGGCCACACTCACCACTGCTCAGTGGCTACTGTGCTCAGGTGTGACTCCTGGTGGTACTCAGGGAAGCTACTGTGGGCCAGGAACTTGAGTCAGGATTGCGGCAGCCTCGGTCACACGCAAGCCAAGCCAAGCGTCTTGCCTCCTGTACTATTTCTCTGGCACCCTTTTCTTACTCTTTTAGAGAGGATAATAAAAGGAATCACGTTTGACTAACTGAGGTGCTGAAACCCCAAGACACGTTCTGGATCCCAGCTGAATCCGGCAGCTTCCCAAGCACAGCAGGGCTGCCCAATGAGGAGCACAATCGTCCCCCGGGAGGTGAGCTACAGCCAAGCCCCCTCCTTTTCTCAAGTCTCTGAGCCTGCAGGCCCCCGCACGCAGGGTGGGGATGCGAAGGCGGCCCCCTTCTTACCTGCACAGGTGGAGGGCCTTGGGGCATGGGCTGATCCAGCGAGGTGAAGGCGGACATGGCAGACATGAGCACGTCATCGCTCACCAAGATGTTCCCCTGCACCAGAGTCTGAATCAGCGGGGATGGGGGCACAGTGATGTACGTGGAGATCTGGAGAGAGGCACAGACAGGGAGTCAGGAGGGAAATGTCGGAGACCCTTGGAAAGAAGTCAAAGATGTGACACAAAAGGTCTAGTTTGTGGATTCCACGGTCAGCTCTGTGGCTCCATGCTGTGCAACCCCGGGCAAGTCACTCCACCTCTCTGAATCCCTATTTTTTCCCCCAATGAGGAGCATAAGTGGCACTTCCCTCTAAGACACAAACTCTAGGGCCCAACAATAAGACACCTTGTTTCTTTCTTTTTTTTTTAATTTTTTTTATTTTATAAAGTAGCTCACAATATTTGATTACATTTAATATTCAAACACCAATCCCACTACCTTTACACCTTCCCATCACCGTATTTTGGGTATTTCTATCCCAATCCCCAATCCCTGCCCCAAAGCAGAACCAAAATAATATATTTTGTATTGTTTGTTATGAAAAACCGCTAAAAATGCAACAAAAAAGTATCCTTAGAAGAAAGAATGTAAGTATTGTTGTATTTCACCGAGGGACCATTAAGCCCTTTTATAAGAGTTCACTAATATGTTGTTAAAGGTTGAACCTTGTGTGCTTTCTATATATGTAAAGGTAAAAGGTAAAGGTAAAGGCCCTCCCGTTGATCGTCGATTTGCTCGAGCGGGCCCAGTAACATCTCCATTGGAGACTTTGTTGTTACTGTGTCTGGCATATCGAATACTCTCGGTAGCTTGCCGGGCTCTCCGAGAGGGGCGGAGGAATCGAACTCGGGTTGGCCATGTTGGCCGCTTGTAAGGCGAACGCCCTACCCGCTGTGCTATCGCTCTATATATGTAACTGTGGAAAAAAAAAGTATTATTTTCCCTTTAAGATTGGTTGCCTACTACTTTGAACCCTATCAAATGTGGTGCTGTAATCTTGGAGTATGGGTAGGGTGTGTGGTTTGAAGTATTTTGTGGTTTGAAGTATTTCTTGTTCGTCTGGGGGTCATATCCAGTAATGCTCTGGGGTTACTCCAGGCTCTGCACTTAGGAACTACTCCTGGCAGGGCTTGGGGGACTATATGGGATGCCAGGGATCGAACCCAGGTCGGCGACATGCAAGTGCCCTACCTACTGTACTATCTTTCCAGCACCCAATAAGACACCTTGGTATCTAACTCAGAAAAGTACATATGCCAGAGGGAGTCCACAAACAGGAGTGTCATGCACAGCCTCGTGTTGAAGAGCAGAGAACAGGGCCATTCATTGGGAAGTAAGAAAAAATAGCACAGTCTGGAATAGAACATACCAGAGCAGGTAAATGGTACTGTGGGGGGTGGGGGAGGGGATCAAATTTTATCTTCCTGGAGTTTCTGTTTTGTTTTGTTGGTGTCTGGGCCGCAACTGGCCATGCTGAGAAGTCAATCCCACTGGTCCTTAGGAATAAAAACTTTGGGACTCCCACAAAGAAAAACATGTTCTTGAAGTAAACTCAGGCCATGCCCACAGAGTCCCAATCCCTCCAGACCATCTTGCTGGTCTGAAGCTAATGCTTTAAAGGAACAAGGAGACAAGAGAAAGCCAGAGGGAAGCTGGACACTTTGGCCTGGCTTCTCTCCCAAGTCCTTGGAAGCTTCCTCAAGTCCCTCTCTGAGCCTCCCCTCGACCCAGGCGGCGCGAGGACCCTCTGCCTCTGCCGCTCACCGGACCTCCACTGCATGTTCCAGCCACCACTGGACAGTCCAGTGGGGATCCCAAATCCAGTGTGTGCAGCTGAACTGAATCTTCCTTGGGTTTCAGCTAATGCCAAACCTCTACCTCTGGACTCAACCCTTACTCCTCTTGGTCTCGCCCCCACCTCAATCTGGCCACAAGCTCCAGCTGCAAGTTCTGTCTGCAAAATATTTGCCCCTCCACCCTGGTCAAGCCACCCGAACTAAGTACCATGATTTATTTTTTAATTCTTTTTTGCTTTTGTTTTGGGGCCGCACCCTGTGGCCATGTGGTGCCAGGAATTGAAACTATCCTTTGCATGTGCAAGGCAGGTGCTTTTCCACTGGAGCTATATCTCTGGCCTCCCAGAGAACCATTTTTGTGCTTTTCATTTTCTCTTTTTTTTTTTTTAGTGGGGGTGCACACCCAGTAGTGCTCAGGGGATTCTATAGTGCTGGGGATTGAATGCAAAGCCTCCTGCATGCAAAGCGTGTGTTCAGGCCAGTTAAAATATCAGACAACAGATATTGGCGGGAGTCTAGTAAGAAAGCCAGGAGATCCATCAGAATCTATTATCTAAATTTTGGTACTGCGGGCTGGAGAGATCGTACAGCAGGCAAGGTGCTTACCTTGGACATGGACAGTCTCTGGCATCCCATAAGACCCCCTGAGCCCCCACTCCCAGAGTGATTCCTGAATGCGGAGCCAAGAGTAGGCCCTGAGCATCACTAGGAATGCTCACAAAAAAAAAAAAAAAAACCCTACCAAAAAAAAATACAGCAGGAGCTAGTGAGAGTATAGTAGGCAGGGCTTGGACACGGCCAACACAGGTTAGACGCCTGGCATCCCACAGGGTCCCCTTAGCCTGCCTGGAGTGATCCCTGAGTGTTGAGACAAGAGAAGCCCTGAATACCACCCAAAAAAAACCCTCAAAAAGAAAAAAAAAAAGAAAGAAAAAGGAAAAAAAATTATGGCAACCAGAGAGATCTTATTAGGGAAGAAAGCCAACTCTGTTTTGCCTCTGCTCAATCCCCCAATGGCACCAGCTCTCTCAGAGTCAAAGCACCAGGCCCACAAGTGCTGCTCCATCTCTGACCTGATCATCTCCTGCCCTTCCCTGTACACTCACTGACTGACTCTCCTCTTAGAAAAGGAGAGATAGAGGGAGAGAGATCGAAGGGCTGGAGTGATAGTACGGCGGGTAGAGCGTTTGCCTTGCACGCGGCCGACTCAGGTTCAATTCCCAGCATTCCATATGGTCCCCTGAGCACCGCCAGGGGTAATTCCAGAGTTCAAAGCCAGGAGTAACCTCTGTGCGCCGCTGGGTGTGACCCAAAAAGCAAAATAAATAAATAAAAGAGAGAGAGAGAGAGAGAGAGAGAGAGAATGAGCGAGCCTGCCATAGAAGTGTGGGGAGGGGGGGGCAGGAGCGGGGCAAAAAAAAAAAAAAAGGGAAACTCTTCCTCAAACTCCTTCACCCTTAGGTCTCTGCTCCCAGATCGCCTCTGCCCAAAGCCCTTCCCCAAGCACCATAAGCCAAAGGCAAGACCTGCATGTCTGTCCTGGCATGTGTGCGCCACATCCTGCCAACAGCATCTGCTGAAACCTGAGTGTGGATCCTGTCTCTCTCACCCAGCTGCGTGAGAGCAGGACTTGGTGCTCGGGACTTCACTGAACCACCTTCCCCTGACCCCAGCACTGCTGAATGGAGGGATGATGAAGGGATGGATGAGTACCTGGCGATTGGCAGGAGGAGGGGCCGGCTGGAGCGCTGCAGGGGCCACAGAAGGCGTGTAGATGCTGTTGGTGGCCAGTGAGACAGTGGCCAGTGGTGGGGCACTCCCCTGGCATTGCTCCCGCTTGTGGGTCATAAACGCTGGCAGCGAGTTGAACTGCTTCTTACACTTCCCGCAGAGAAAGACATCCTCGTCGTCTAGGGTCACGAGAGCAGAGGGAGGGCAGGGAGCAGGAAAAAAGCGAGAGTGGATAAATGAGAGGCTGAGGCCCAGGGAGAAGCAGACCACAAAAACGACCAATCCATCAATGCTCTGGGCCCCAGGGGAGGTCAGTGACAAGGTTGGTGTCCTAGAGGTTTTTAGAACCACACAGACGCCTACAAGAAGGCCAGACCATGCTCACCCAAGGATGGAAAAATAAAAAATCAAGAAGTAATAAAGTATGGGCCCGGAGTGATAGTTTAGCAGGTTGGGCATTTTGTCTTGCATGCAGCCGACCCAGGTTAGATCCCCAGCATTCCATATGGTCCTCCGAGTATCATCACTGGGTGTGACCCCAAACAAGAAAAAAAAAAGATAGTAAAGTAGAATAACTTCAGTGCCATTTTGTTTTGTTTTGTTTTTGGGCCACAACAGTGGTGCTCAGGACTTACTCCTGGCTTTGTACTCAGGAACTACCCCTTGAGGGACCATACAGGATGGCAGGGATCAAACTCAGGCAGCTGCATGCAAGGCAAGTGCCTTGCCCGCTGTATTAGAACCTGCTGGATTATTACTCGCTCCAGCCCCAGGTAGGTTAATTTCAAAGTGAATACATTCAGGTGCCTAAATTTGCTCATCAGATCCCAGGGAACCGGTGACCCCACCCAGCTGTGTCCTTGGCTCCCTGCCAAGCTCATTCTGCAAGAGTCAATCCAGATGTCACCTCCACCAGGTGGCCATAGCTCCTTCCTCTGGGCACATTCCCGCATCACCACCACAATGTGAGGCAGACCCCCCGAGGGAAAGAAAGATCATATTCTGGGCATATATTCTGGGCACTCAGGGGGCCCTCGGTGGATGCTTGGTGAATAAATGAAAAACTAAATAGTTAATTGGCTACCACCACCCATCTCTGAGGACTACATCAGTCATGCCATGGCTACACCATCCATGCGAACCAGGCATCTGACTCAGTGGTACGGCCACAAGAATAAAGTCCTAAATTCAATCCCCATCACCAAAAATAACAACAGAAATGTCACTCTTCCCTCTTAAACAGCACTACAAATATTAGTGTTAAATATGGTCATCTAGTGAAAGTTTACATTTCCCAGACTTCTCTGGGGGAAGACATGTCATGTGTCTAAATTCTGATCAATGGGATAGGAGCAAAAGCACACTGTACACGCAACTTCCTCTTTTGGGGGGCGGGGGGAGGGGCAGGTGTTTTTGGCTACACCTGGAGATGCTCAGGAGATACTCCTGGTTCTGCACTCAGGAATTACTCCTGGTGGGGCTCAGGAGACTATATGGGATGCCAAGATCAAACCTGAGATGGCTGTGTGCAAGGCAAGTGCCCTACTCGTTGTCTTATCACTCTGGCCCCAGCAACTTCCTCTTAAAACGAAGTATATGGAAGCCGATGAGATAACTCAATTGGCAGAACAGGTCTCAGCGCAATCTCTGGCACCACATGGTCCCCTGAGCACCACCAGAGGTAACGAGCCTCTGAGATTAGCTAGGAATGGCTCCAAAATTTAAGAAAAGGAAAGAAGAAAAATGATACATGTTCTACTTCTTTCCCTCCAGAGTGACTAAGCTGAGAAGAAGAGGAAAAGGTTCAGACACTACAGGATGTCCAGAGGCGCCCAGAGGAAATACCTGTGGACCAAAGTGGGCAGTTTACTCCCATACTGCTTGTGAGCACCATTTCTTTTCCACGGGAACCACCTTACTCTTCCCAGCTAAGAAGGCAAGCACATACTCACCCAGTGGTTGGATTGAGGGGGGTGCACTGACGCTCTGGCCTGTGGGGTCAGGGACTGCTCCTTGGCCATCCAACAATGACTGGACGGCCAGGACAGTCTGGTTGTCCATTCCTGAAAAAGGAAACGCAGCTGCTCTGACACACGGCCCAGCATTCAGCAGTGGTGTTGCCCTTAAAAGACAAACCCACTGGCAAGGACCATGTGACTGAGGTGGCCGGCAGGGCCCTGATAAACATACTCCCCTACCTCCACCGCAACAGATCCCAAGATTGTGTCTGCAAACAGAGTCTGCAAGACAAGCACATTATTCCTTGCATAATCTCATCAGTCCCAAGATCTTATTTTTGTTTCTGAGACACATTTGATGATGCTCAGGCAAGCACCTTACTCCCTGCATGATCTCACCAGCCCCAAGATCTTATTTTTGTTTTTGAGTCACATTTGGTGATGTTCAGGGGTTAACTCCTGGTTCTACATTCAGGAATCACTCCTGGTAATGCTCAGGGGATCATATGGGATGCTGGGATTGAACCCTGCTCAGCTACATGCAAGGCAAGTGCCCTACCTCCTGTGCTATCTCTCCAGTCCAGTTTTTTTTCTTTTTAAGTTTTTTTTCTTTTTGGGTCACACCCGGCAATGCACAGGGGTCACTCCTGGCTCTGCACTCAGGAATCACTCCTGGCTGCTGCTCAGGGGACCATATGGGATGCTGGGAATCGAACCCGCTTGGCCGCGTACAAGGCAAATGCCCTATCCGCTGTGCTATCACTCCAGCCTCTCTTTTTTAATTTTCTAAGGTTGTACAACAGTGGCTTGGGTCCTCTAGTATGTAACCTTCCCTTTGCAGACCAGTCAGAATATCTGCTCTCTTAATGAGAGTAGCAGACTATTATGTAATGTGTGATTCAGAACTTTAAGTTTGCTAACCACAAAACCTCCTGCCTGATTTCCTTGCTGTAAAGGACCTTGCCAAACCTCCCTTGATGTAATCACGAAGGCAAATCCTTCTCTTAACAATGGCCTTGCTGTACTGTAGCCCCCGTGTCACTGCTGTACTTATGCCATGATGTAGGTGTGCCTTCACACTGCTAACCCAGAATACGAAGCATGAATCGGGATGCATTTGCAGAAATGGCTTGTGAGACCACTGTTCTCTGCTGATGTGCTCAGATTACCTGTGCTGTCTGGACTCAGCACACCGGTAAATAAAACCTTCTTAATGTTCCCACCATAAACTTTGTCTTGTTGTGCTTCAGTGAACTTCTGTTATAACACTTACAAAGGATAACACTCAGGAATAGTCAGAGAATGGCAGAGGGCCAGGTATGGGAAAAGGATGCAGAGGTCCCTGCCTCCATCATTCTCCCCTAAATCTCCACAAATTCACCAACCAACCAAGAAGTTCGAGGAAGGATTTTTTGGTTTGATTTTTTTATTTTTTTTTTCCTTTTTGGGTTATATCTGGCAATGCTCAGGGGTTTCTCCTGGCTCTACGCTCAGGAATTACTCCTGGCTGTGCTGGGGGAACCATATGGGATGCCAGGGACAGAACCCGGGTTGGCCTTGTGCAAGGCAAATGCACTACGCGCTGTACTATCGCTCCAGCCCCTTGATTTGGTTTGATTTTCTAACCACATCCAGCTGTTCTTAGGATCACCCAGGCAGTGTTCAGAGGACCATACATAGTGCTGGGTACCAAACCTGGGTTGGCCACATGCAAGGCAAGTGCCCTTACCCCTGTAATATCTCTCAGGCCCCCTAGGACGTTTCCTGAAAAGCTGCCTGGTATATAATCCCTTTATTCCCATCTTCCATCCTACATACATCCTAATGTAAGAATACGGGGGCCAGAGCCCTAGTACAGCAGATAGGGCACTTGCCTTCCACACAGTTCTGGTACCCCAGATGGTTCTGTGAGCCCCAAGAGCAGTGATCCCTGACCACAAAATCAGGAGTAAGCCTTGAGCCCTGCCAGATGGGATGCAAAAACTAAAACCAAAACAAAAAAGAAGAATATGAAAATAGGAACTCTAGCCACCACCCTAGATCACAAATCATCCCCAAAGGACTGCACAGCAATGAGGGACATGGGTTTTGAAACCCTCATAGCACACAGACATGCACATAGGTGTGGCTGATCTTCCTCTAGCTGCACAACAGCAGAGAAACTGTTAAACGCCTTTAGGCCCTGCCCCCCCCCCTCCCAGGAGAGGCTGCTTTCTTACTAATGACTACCTCCAATCCTAAGCGATTCCCCCCAATCACACCCGACAAATTCTGCAAACATGCTTATATGCCCTGAGTCTCTGTTTTCTTGAAAAGGCAACTACTTCCATGTTTTCCGATCATCAAAGTACCCCATGAACAACTGCAAGCAATCTACAGAAAAAAAAAAATTCCCAACTAACAGGAGAGAAGTATAGGAGGTAAAGTGCTTGCCTCGCACATGGTCAGTGCCAGTTGGATCTCCAGCACCACACATGGCCACCCCCGCACCCAGCAGAGCCCCTGCTCACTGTTACTCCTCCATACAAAACTTCCTTAGCTCCACTTAGCCGGAAAGTTCAGAAGCCCCATCTCCAGCACTTTACCCACATAAAGCTCCCGTGACTTGTCAGTGACCTCTCTGTCCCCAAGGCTCTGCATGTTCTGTACCCACAGATCCCCAAAGTTCTGCCACCCTTCTCCTAGTTGGGAATGCATTACACTATGGTGTATTAAGAACTGGTTTTCTCTCCTCTCCTCTCCTTCTCTCTCTCTCTCTCTTCCCCTCTAACTGGTACTGTTCAGGGCTTACTCCTGGCTCTGTGCTCGGAAATCACTCCTAGCAGATTTGGGGGACCATAAGGGGTGCCAGGAATCAAACCCAGGTCAGCCACATGCAATGCCAATACCCTACCCACTGCACTATCTCTCCAGCCCCACAGAAACATTTCTTGTAATAAAAACTCAAATGCTGAGGGCTGAGATGGCTTAGAGGGCCGGAGTACAGGCTTTGCATGTGAAGCCTGAGGTCAATCCCTGATACCACATGATCCTCTGAGCACCAACAGGAACAACCCCTGGATGCTGAGCTAGGAAGCTCCTGAACACCACCAGGTGTGGCCCAAAAGTCAGAAAGAAAACACAAACTCAAAACACTTGAGAAATCTCAAGTAGAAAGTAGAAAGCCGTTTGCTTCCATTCTCACACATCACTGCACTAAGCAGCTGGATATTTTGTTTGTTTTTGGGTCATACCCAGTAGTGCTCGTGGATCACTCCTGGCAGGGCTTAGGGCACCGTATAGGGATCAAATCTGGATCAACCGCATGTAAGGCAACTGCCCTGCTCACGATACTATTGCTCTGTTATCTTTTACAATTTCTAAAATTTCTTTTGGGGGTAATATGGAGGACCAGGGCCACGCTCTGGGGTGCTTGAGGACTATTTTGTGTTCAGGAATAACCAGTCTTGGTGCTTCAGGATGCCAGATCAAACAAAGGCCAGCCTTAGAGGCCACATGCAACACAAATGCCTTATCTCCTGTACTATCTCTCTGGCCCCGAGTCTATCATTTCAACAATCACTAGTTGTGTTACTTGGTCACCAGGTTATGGGGCAGCAACTATGTGAGGTCCAGAGTTCCTGAAACTGGATCTGGAAAGGCCCCCAGAAAGGTCCATTACCTTGAAAGCAGCCCTGCCTTCCACTCCCAGAACCGCACATAGTCCCCTGGGCAGAGCCAGGAGTAAGTCCTGAGCATCACCCTCCGGTGCCTTAAAATCCAAAAAAGAAGGGGGTCCTGAAACTATCCCTGGCAGAGCAAAAGGGTACCCCGTGGTGTTACAGTGAGAATTCGGATCCTTTGTACAGTGGACATAGCAGAGACCTGCGTCAAAGTCACAGTCACATCCTGCTAGTCTGGCCTGCTTTTCGGGCGCACGTTCATCATCCGTCATCTCCTCACACTCCTCCAAGAACGTTTTAGGGTCTGCACCCACCTCCACCCGCGGCATCTACTTGGAGAGTCGCTAAGGCTTCCTCTGCAGACCCAGCAGGTGCACAGAGGGGGTCCTCGCTGGCGGTCTCGAAAGCCCACAGTTCCCCACGCCCGCCCCCACGCCAGCATCCTGCAGACCACGGGGGGCAATTCCTCTGGGCCCCCAGCGTTGGATGCTCTGGCTCGGTGACTCGGGCCTGGCCGTGCGCCCCTGGTGGCGTCCCTCCCCCTTCCCCGTCTGAACGTGACTGGCCACGGCGGCGGCGGCTCTCCACACCTGCTCTTTGTGGGCAGGCCCCGCGGCGCCGACAACGGCCTGGCCACCTCCGGGTCCAGCTGCTGCAGCGGGTCCAGGCCCCTCCTGGCCCCCTGACCCCGCTGCTTCCCTCCAGGCCCCCCGTGCAAGCGCAGGCCGCTCCGGGGGCCGGGGTCAGCGGGCCCCCGTGTGCCCGCGGCTGCCCGCCCGGCTGTTCCGGCCCCCGCGCCCCCTCCCGCGGGCCCGCCCGGCCCGGCCCGGCCCGGCCCGGCCTGGGCTCCCGCGGCTGTTCTGCGCGCGCCCCTCCCGCCCCGCGGCTGTTCCCGCCCCGGCGCCCTCCGCCCCGCGGCCGCCGCGCGCCCTGGGCCCGGCGCTGCGAGCCCGCGGCGGGAGGGGGCGCGCCGCGGAACAGCCGCGCCTCCCCCGGCCCCGCCGCCGCTCACCCTCCAGGGCCTCGAAGATCGCCTGCGCCATCTTGGAGCCGCCGCCGAGGGAACCGCGGCTACGCGAGCATTGTGGGAGCCGCGGCGGGCGCGGGCCGGGGCCGCCAGGGGGCGCCCGGGAGCCGCCGCCGCCGCCGCCGCGGCGACCCCCGGCCCGGGAGCCACCGCAGGGCTCCCGTCTGCCTCCCGGGGCGCCTCCGGGACGATCCTGTCACCGGCGCGTGTGGCCGCCCAGCTCCGCCCCCTCGAACCCCCAGTTCAGCGCACCGACCCAGTCCCCGCCCCCCGTTGTCTAGACCGCCCCGCTGTGCAAAGTGCTGTGATAAGAGCGTGACTAGTGTGCACCCCAATAGTGGGCCAGACTTAGAGGCAGGCTGGGGGGTGGGGGGCGGTGGGAGGGAAACTCGGGACACTGATGCTGGGAGACGTACACTGGCGGAGGGATGGGTGTTGGAACACTGTATGACTGAAACCTAATCGTGAACAGCTTTGTAAGGGTCTATCTCACAGTGATCCAATTTTAAAAAATTAAAAGAATATATATGCTGGAAGACAAAGCTACTTATTGTGCCAGTATTGGAAGTTTCCTTAAAGTAAAATTATCCTTCCTGGTTAATAAAATAAAGTAAAATAAAATAAAAAGTGGCCAGATGCATATGCGACTAAGGTCCAGCCACCCAGAAACAGCTCTGTGAACAGGACCCATCTGCTCTCTATATGGGACCTTCAGTTCTGCAACACGCACCCTATTTGCACCCTATTTCCACCATAAGGTGTCCCCCAGCATTGCAACACAACCTATTTCTTCCTCACAGGGTCCCCTACGTTTGTCAGAAAGGCCCATCTCCACTTCACATGGCATGAAACCTTTGGTCTGCCTGTGCAACGTGGACCCACCCCAGGACTCCGCTGTCAGAGACTCCCCTCCTTGCTGCAGGATTGGGAACCAAATGCCTCTACCTCCCCCTGGCCTTAAATCCCCTCTTCACAGAGGTTCCTGCATAGCTGTTGCTTTACATCCCCTACCCCACATCCACCTTTGGGGGAGCACCCTTTCCTATTCATACAGATCTTCATCGTTTCCTTCAGAGTTTGTCCCACAAACTCCCAATGCCCATCTGGGGAGCCCATGCAGAGAGTCTTCCCCCATCACCCACATACTCTCCACTAGCTCCTAACTGAAGACTAGTCTGATTAGCCAGAAGTCAGAGACCCTTTCCCACGAGCTGGGGAGAGAGGCAGACAGACATTAAATATTAAAAATCATTGGGATGGAGAAATAATGCAAAGTCCCAAGTTCATGCTCTGCCTGTGAAAACCCCAAATTTGAGGGCCAGAGCGACAGTACAGCAGGTAGGGTGTTTGCCTTGCACGTGGCTGACCCAGGTTCAATCCCCACTATCTGTATGGTTCCCTGAGCCCATCAGAAGTGATTCCTGAGTGCAGAACCAGAAATTATTCCTGAGCATTGCCAGGTATGGCCCCGTAAAAGAACAACAACAAAAATCTAAATTTTGAGATCCCAGGCAGCACTGGGAGTGACTCCAGAAGCGCCACAAAGGTGGGACCCCTCCCCACAAAAAAAAAAAACACACTTCATTTCAAGGTGTGTGCCCATCCTTCTAAAAAAACTTCTTTGGGAAAAAAAAATCCCTTGGGTGGAAGGTTGGAGCAATAGTACAGCAGGTAGGGTGCTTGCCTTGTGGGACATTGGTTCACTCCTCCGCATTTCATATGGTATGCTGAGCCCTGCCAGGAGTGATCCCTGAGCACAGAGCAAGGAGTAAACCCTGAACACCGGTGGTTGTGAGCCCAAGACAAAACAAAAAATCAAAACTCACTTGAGGGCTGGGGATATGGCTGAAGTGGTAAAGCACCTGCCCTAGTGCTATTTCTGGCACCATTGTTTTGGGATTCTGATCCCCCCCCCACACACACACAGTCATTGCTGAGAGTGCTTCCTATGTGAAAAAAAAATAAAGACCAAGAACCACACTCAGAGGATCAGGAGGAGCTGTGGGAGCATGTGTTTGGAGACCAGGAGAATCATGGTATTGTTCTGATGTCACCCCAGGAGTGTGGGGTGATTTTGACTTTAGATATGCTTGTCATTTTTCTTAAATACCTATTTTAGCCTCACCAGAACAAAAATCACACTTTCTGTTTCCTTAGATTAGCTGAGTACACTCCTAGTTACATCGCAGTTCTACTTTGTGGAGCACTGATTCTGAGGCATTGCCTCACTGACCCCTATGCCGGCGCCCCCACAGACACATCCTCAAGCTCTATTTCTACTATTTGGTTGTTGTTTTTGTCTCAGGATCACACCCAGTGGTGCTCAGGGCTCACTCCTGGCTCTGAACTCAGGCGTCACTCCTGGTACTCCATGGGGGACCACACAGGGTATCAAGAATTGAACTTAGGTCGGCTACATGCAAGACACACACCCTACTGGCTACACCACTCCAGCCTCCCATTTCTACTCTTGAACTCCCATCCTGCCCTCACCACCCCACTTGTCCCCCACTCAGTTTTTCTGGGGTTTTGTGTCATATCCGCCAGTGCTCAGAGACTTCTAGCTTTGTGCTTGGTGGCAGTCCCTGGTAGCACTAGGAAGACCATGTGGGACTGAAGCCAGGTCTCCTGCCTGCAGAGCATCCACCCACAACAATTGATCTGTATCTGCTCCTTAGCCCTTGGGCCTGCTGTTCTCTTTTCTGATGCCCTCTTCACCCCCTCTGGACCACAGGAGCTTGCCTTCTTGCCTCCTTCTCTGATAGCCTTGGATGGAATCTGCCAGCCCTTGCTGGGCCAGTTACTTGGATGATTCCCAGCAGGGGACTCTCTGAGCCATTGGAAGTTGCCTTTTTCTCTGCCCCCACCGGAAGAAGCCCTCTGAGCCTGGGTGGAGCTTCCTTCCGTTGGTTGGTTGGACAGAGACAACCTGAGCAATGCTTCCATCTGGCTCCCTCACTCAGGGACAACTGATGAGCTTTGAGAGGTGGAATGCCCGATGGGCAGCATGTTCCCTAGTCTGAAGGTCTCTGCTTGTCTGGGCTTTTTGTTTCTGGCCTCCATGTCTTGTTCTGTCAAAATCAACATTCCTTTGTCCTGTTTCCTCAGGTCTGCCTTGTTGGTGCTGAACCAAACACAATAGCAGTTTAGAGACTAAGGTAAGTGATGGAGTAATTCCAGGAATGCAGTCAAGCAGGGAGGAGGGGAAAAGTTTGGGAAAGCTCCAATGGCCTCCTCCACAACAGGTGTTCTGGGCACTCCAGAAAGTTGTCCATGGAAAGGGAGAAATTGTGGGCCGTTTAAACCAGCGGCCCCAGCTGGAAGGGGAAGATAAAGATCCACTTTGCTATTCCCTGATTTCTTGTGAGGTCTATAGATATTGATTGGTAGGAGGCAGAAGAGCATGGTGGTTGTGCTGAATTGTGTTCCCCAGAATTCGTGTCGATCTCCTAAATTTGTGTTGATCTCCTAATTCCTAGTCCTTCGAATTAATCACTTAATCACTTAACTTCCCGTTAGTCGTCGATTTGCTCGAGCGGGCGCCAGTAACGTCTCCATTTGTCCCTGTCGCGTGCTAGTGTAGCCCAATGGCATCTGTTCGCTCCGGGAACATGAAGGGCCTCAAACCGATCGTTCATGATCTTGACGAAGAAGTCTGACCATCTGGTAGGTGGGCGGCCACGCGGTCTTTTGACATCCCGTGGAATCCAATCAGTAACAGCTCTAGTCCAGCGGTCGTCTTTAAATCTCATTACGTGACCAGCCCATCTGATTTTCGACACCTTGGCAAATGAGACAGCGTCCCTGATCCTTGATCGTCGACGGATGTCAGAACTCCGGATTCGTTCTCTCATTTGAGTGAAACGTGATATTCCAAGCAGAGCTCTTTCTATTCTTCTTTGGGAGACCTGAATGGCGTTCTCATCTCCTTCGAATTATGACTTTTTTTTCTGCTTTTTGTGTCACAGCTGGCAATGCTCAGGGTTTATTTCCGACTCCACACTTAGGAATTAATCTCGGTGGTGCTTGGAGGACCACATGGGATTCCAGGGATGGAACCTGGTTTGACCATGTGCAAGGCAAGTGTCCTACCTGCTATACTATCACTCCAGCCCAAATTATGACTTTTTAAAGATGGACCTTTAATGTGGTGATTAAGTTTAGTAAGATCATATAGGTTGGACCTAATCCCATGTGACCGGTATCTATCTATCTATCTATCTATCTATCTATCTATCTATCTATCTATCTATATGCTGGAGTGATAGCACAGTGGGTAGGGCGTTTGCCTTGCATGTGGTCAACCCGGGTTCGATTCCTCCGCCCCTCTTGGAGAGCCTGGCAAGCTACCGATAGTATCTCACCCGTATGGCAGAGCCTGGCAAGCTCCCTGTGGCGTATTCTATATGCCAAAAACAGTAACAACAAGTCTTACAATGGAGATATTACTGGTGCCCGTTTGAGCAAATTGATGAATAATGGGAGGACAGTACTACAGTGCTATACACACACACAAACACACACACATACACACATATATAGGTGGTTTAAACACATACATAGACTGAGGGGTGACTGTGTGGGGACACAGTAAGAAGGCAACCATCGAAAGATCAGAGAGAGGGCCAAAGAGGTAATACAGGAGATAAGGTATTTGTCTTGCACTCAACCAACCCTGGTTTGATCTCTGTCCACCACATATGTTTCCTGAGCACAGCCACGAGTCACTCCTGAGCACAGAGCCAGGAAGAGTCCCTAAGAAAAGCCAAATGTGACTCACCCTCGCCCCTTGAAAGAAGGAAATCAACCTACAGGAAACTTATCTTGGACTTTCACTCTTAGAATTTGAGAAAACTAATTTCAGTTGTGTAAGAGACTCAGTGTGAGGGATTTTGTTATGGAAATAATTAAAATGGTTTAGATCAAGAATGCAGCAGTGAGGGGCTGGAGCGATAGCACAGTGGGTAGGGCGTTTGCTTTGCACACAGCCGACCCGGATTTGATTTCCAGCATCCCATATGGTCCCCTGAGAACTGCCAGGGGTAATTCCTGAGTGCAGAGCCAGGAGTGACCCCTGTGCATCACTGGATGAGACCCAAAATAGTAAAAAAAAATGCAGCAGTGAGAGGTCTGTATTCCCATCCTAATGCCATCCTTGATTCACCATATCATCTTAGGTGAATTATTTTGCTTCACTGTCTCAGTTTTCCATCAGTTAAGTGTACATGATGATAATACCTAACTCATGATCATAAGTAACTCATGAAGATGTTATGAGAATTAATGCTTAATACAGTACTTAAAAATTTTTCCTGGCATGCAGTAAGTAAGAGAATTAGTTATTTGACAGTGTTTGTTAAATACATAAATTTATCTTCATTGGGCAAAGATGAACAGTCTGTATTTTGAGTAACTCAACTATTTATCATTTAAAAGACAATTGTGATATTTCCTAAACTCTTTACCCTGAAAACCCTGGAGTAGTGGTAGAATGGGGTGCCCAAACTAAGTCAGCTGCATGCCAGGCAAGCACCTTAAACCCTGTGCTATTTCTCCAAGTCTTTTTTGGGGCAAGGGCCATATCCGGCTGTCCTGGCTCTGCACTCAGGAATTACTCCTGGCAGTACTCAGGGGGACTGTCAGGGGGTGCCAGGGATAAAACCTGGGCTGGCTATGTGCAAAGCAAGTGTCCTACCCACTGTACTATCTCCAGCCCCATCACTTCAGTCTCACACTCTCTTCTATAAATGGAATTACACAGTTATAAGGTTGTTCGTGACTAGGTTTCCATTATACAATGTTCCTACATGGGTCCCTTAGCCAGTGTACATTTTCTACCACCAATGCCCCCAGTTTCCCTTCCTCTAATGCCACTACCACCAGTCTGCCTCTGTGTCAAGCACTCTCCTTCTCTCTCTCTTCTCTCTCTCTCTCTCTCCTTTCTCTCTCCTCTCCATCTCTCTCAGTTTGTGTGTGTGCGTGTGTGTGTTTCTCTCTCCACCCTCCTCCTCTCTCTTTCCTTCTGGGCATTATGGATTATGGTTTGTAATACAGGTACTAAAAGGTTATCGTGTATGTCCCTTTGCCCTCTTTCAGCACACAATTTCATCATTCCATTTTTAAACAGTAATTCTCTGTTTACTCTTTTTCATGTTTCCCTGGGAATCTCTCACACTTCTAAACTTTTCAGAAGATATTTGTATGTTTTATTTAACATTTTCACTCTTTTCAGATGAAGAATTAATTGAATAAACCAGTATGCCATTACAAAAATGAAAAGTTCAGTTTTATTTTTTAGTTTTGGTTTTATGGTCACACCCAGATGTGCTTAGGGCTTACTCCTGACTCTGGTCTCAGGGATCACTTCTGGAGGGCTCAGGGGACTACTGAGGTGCCAGGGATCAAAGCCAGGTGGGCTGCATGCAAGGCGAGCACCCTACCCTCTGTTCTATCTCCCAGGCTCCAAGAATCTAGTTTTAATAATATATTAGAACCGTTATTAATTCTTCCTTTTTTGACCCCTGACACTGACCCAAAGCAATAATGTTACAGATAAATACCACATGGCCTATGTTCCAGGGGACGCCCTCACAAGTCACAGTCACCACTCAGTGTGTAGCTGGTATCCAGTGGCAATTTCTGACAGTGGCATTATATGGCATCATTACTCTGAGATATAACTGAAAATTGTGTTCCTTCAACAAGCATATGTTGTGTACACACCATGAGTTAAGTGCTGAAGTTGCAGCAAAAACAAGCCAGACAAGTTTTCTGCTCTCATAGAACTTAGAGTCATAGAGAGGCATTGAACAATGACCATGTAACAGATTGTTTTAAAGAACAGAAAGTTATAGAGGCCAGCCGGGTATTCTAGGGGAAAGGACAATTCAGATAGAAAGGGGAACACCAAGTGGAGGGTGTTTGGAGGATCCTCCCAGGAGGGGAGATGCAGGTTGAAAGTAGACTGGACTGAACATGTTCGCCACTCAATGCCTCTTTTGCTGATCACAACACCCAAAAGGAGAGAGATAACAAAAGGGAATGCCCTGCCACAGTGGCAGGGGGGGATGGGGGGATGGGGGGATGGTGGGGGAGGGATATTATCCTGGTGGTGGAAAATGGGCACTGGTGGAGGGATGGGTATTTGATCGTGGTATGACCGAGATCCAAGCACAAAAATTTGTAAATCTACAACTGTACCTCATGGTGTTTCACTAATAAAAAAAAAAAAGAACAGAAAGTTATATGAAAAAAAATAAAAACAGGGCAACCAGTCAGAAGCTGGGGAGTGTGACTTTAGGATATCTAGAAAGTACTCTTTAAGGAGGTGGCATTTGAGAGCTGAAACCTGTAGGCTGAGAAAGAAACAACCATGTGAAGAACTAGGTGTGGTAAATAAAAACCTGGAAGGGAAATAGCAAGGTTCAAAGAAGAGTGAGAAGGAGGTGACTGAACAGAGGTGAGGGAGAGAGAGAGAGAAAAAAAAAAAGCAGGAATCAGATCATAGATTATTTTCCTGTTAGCCATAGGAAGGAGTTTGCATTGTTTTGTTTTTGTTTTTTCGGGGTTGGTCACCAACACCCAGAGGTATTCGGGGCACCATGCAATGCAATAGGTTCAAACCCGGGGTTCCCTGGCGCTCAAACTCTTTCCTTGGCCCAAAGAATGTTATGGATAAATGGAAACCACTGTGTGAGCTATGGGAATATCACGGTGTTCCCTGTACTCATGTGTAAAGATGAGCTGGAAACCACTGTGTGAGCTATGAGAATATCACAGTGTTCCCTTGTACTCATGTGTAAAGATGAGCCTGGGCTTCTTCCAGAGACACCATTTAAAATTCATTTATGATCCCCCGAGCTCCATCAGGAGTAATTCCTGAGTGCATGAGCCAGCAGTAACCCCTGTGCATCACCGGGTGTGACCCAAAAAGCAAAAATAAAATAAAATAAAATAAAACTAATTTATCTAGGGCTCTAGAGAGGGCATCTTCCCCGTGAGGAAACCTCGTAAGTTTAGAAGTGACACACCCCTGTCCAGCTGGAAGGAGCTTTGCTTTCTGATTGGATAAACTGGGGAGCGCAATCCTAACCTTTCTTAGGGGAAACCGGGCGGAGCCCGCTGCGGTTGGTTACAAACTCTTCCTTCTCTCCCAGTCGGATGCCGAGTCGGGAGAGCGAGCGCGCCTGGTGATTGGCTCTTTCTGTGTGAGTGACAGACTCGTTAGCCTCTGAGCGCAACCCTGGGCGGGGCCCGGCGCTCCTGCCCGCCGTGGGCCGTGCGGACCGAACCCGTGGCTGTCAGTGCTGCTCCGCCTCGGTGCTCGGAACCCCGGTGCCGTTCGCGCTATGTCGGCCCCACCGCAGCTTCGAGTTGTCCTCCAGATGGTCAACAAACTGCTGCGTAATCGTCGCTACCATGCTGCGCTGGCTGTGCTTAAGGGCTTCCGGAACGGGGCCGTGTGAGTGGGGCGGTCGGGCCGGGCCCGGGCCGAGGTGACGCGCCTTGGCTGGGGTCGGAGGCGCGGTTCTGGGCCTGGCGCGCTCGCTCTCTCTGCCCTTGAGCAGCCCTGCCCTGGCTCTGGCTCTCGGTGTCCACCTTCTGCACGGTGGGCGCTGGATTTTGGGCTCGGGCATCTTCTCCGCTCTGCTGTTTCTGGATCCTTGACCACTTTTCTGCCGGGGGGGCCCCCTGTCTGCCTTCTTTGGGGCCAGCTCCTTCCCCCCGCCCCAATCGCTGCGTGTCCTTGGGCCTGTCAGGACTCGTGGTCCCAACTACGCTGCAAGAAGCTAGCCTCTGGCCTCCGCCTCCTGCCACTGCTCCCCGTGAACTTCCCACCCCTCTTCTCATTCCTAGTCCGTAGGACTCCAGCCCCCTCCTGTGTAAAAGAAGCTGCAAATAACCGCTGGTCACTTTGGTTCCACCCTGGCCATCAGACCCGCAGGAGAAGACGCCCTGGGTGCTGCCTGGTGGTGTCTGCAAGGCAGTGAGGCCCCCCCGTTAAACTTCGTGGGCCACATCTATTCGTTATTAAGCCAGAATTGGAGACTTAGCCAAGGACAGCTGAACAAAGAATCGTGCCCTTCTGGAGTTGGCACCCTAGTGGCAGCACAGCATGGTGGTAGGGATGTGAACTGCCTCCACTTCAGTGCCCTGGCCAACTAACCGAGTGATTTGGAGTCATTCAGTCTCTTTAAGCCTTGATTTCCATGAAATGGGAATAACAGTACTTCTATCCCACTGGCAGAAGATTAAGTCACTGTGTGTGAAGTGCTTAGCACAGTGCCCGATGCATTTATCCCTGGTGGCTGCTGTTGCTTGGTATTATTGATGGCTGCCTGTCCCACTTCCCTCCCCTTTTTCAGGCCACCAATGAACTGCCCACCTTGTTCTTTACTTCATTTTCTCTACAATATTTGTCACTTCGTGACCCTGAGTGCTGATTTTTCATGCTTTCTCTCACTAGAACATGAACTGCGTGAGATAGAAATTTGTGTCTCCTTTCTTTGCTCCTCGTGTCCACCTAGCACCTAGGTGCTCAGATATTTATTGGAAATGAATATGTGTGCTGGGAATTGAACCTGGGTCGGCCACGTGCAAGGCAAATGCCCTACCCACTGTACTGAGGGCTGGAGTGATAGCACAGTGGTAGGGCATTTGCCTTGTCCGCAGCCAGACCGGCCGAGCTGGGTTCGATTCCTCCACCCCTCTCTGAGAGCCCGGCAAGCTACTGAGAGTATCTTACCCACATGGCAAAGCCTGGCAAGCTATTCGTGACGTATTTGATATGCCAAACACAGTAACAAGAAGTCTCAAAAAGGAGATGCGTTACTGGGCCAACTTGAGCAAATCGATGAACAACGGGAGGACAGAATATGTGTGCAAGGGCAGAATTGCCATTGTCTCCATTTTCTACATAAGAGGTCAGTGGCCTAGAGAGGCACACTCATTGTTTATGGCCACATCATTTAGGGTTAGAGCCAGGGTTCCTTCTGAGGGGGTGCTCCTGAGCAGTGCTCATGGGACATGGTCACTCCCCATCAGTACCTGATGGCAGGTTCGGTGCTCAGGCTTGGTGATGTGGTGCTACTGGAACCCAGTGGAGCTGGGAGCCACTAGGGCCACATATACCACACTTGGGTTCTGTGTCATGCCAGGAATCAGACTTGGAGCCTCTTGCATGCCAGGCCCGGGTTCCAGCCCTTCAAGTGTCTAGCCCTGACATAGCCATGATCCAAATCCAGAGATGCCTGACCCCAATGCCGGCTCTGGGTATCTGGAATCAAGGTGACTGGCCAGAACATAGCAGCTATGTGTCATCTGATTTGGGTGGAGTTCAGTCTAAGGTAACATCAGTGGCTCTCTGCCAAGGCAGTCTCAGGGCAAAGCGTTAAGTTGGCGCCCTGGTGGCAGGGGGCATTGCCCAATGCTGGCTTTAGACTCCCTTTCTGCCCTACCTAAGTGATTGCAGGGACCTTCCCAGCCAGAGCAGGCACTTCCTCAGCTCAGCTCAGGACCTCAAACCCTTGTTCCTGCCCCTCAAACTAGGGGCCCCTCCTCTCTTCCAGCCTCAGTGTCCTCCTCTGCGCAAAGGGAACAAACTCACACATACCTTGGTGATAAACCCGTTACCCTTTATGGAAGAGTGCTGCCATTCCAGATTTCCAGTGGGAAATTTGGAGGGGGGGAAATCCACAGTTTGCCAGATATTTCAGGGGGCAGGCTTAGATGATAGGGATGTTTGACTCTCTATCACACTTCTAAATCTATCAGTGTGCAGCTCTGAGAAATAAGAGCATATCCCTCTGGAGATTAATGGTGATGGTTGCATTAGTACATTAGTAATAATCCTGGAGGGACTGGACAGATAGGACAGGACAGTGGGGAAGGTGATGGCTTTGCACGTGGCTGACCCGGGTTCAGACCTCAGCACCCCATAGGGACCCCTGAACCCCTACCAGGAGTGATCCCTGAGTGTACTCAGGAGTCAGCCATAAGCACAGCCTGGTGTGACCCAAAACACAAGGCAAAAGTAATTATCCTGGAGCTGGATTGATAGCACAGCAGGTGGGGCATTTGCCTTGCATGCAGCCCACCCAGGTTCAATTCCCAGCATCCCATATGGTCCCCTGAGCACTGCCAGGAGTAATTCCTGAGTGCAGAGCCAGGAGTAACCCCTGTGCATTGCTGGGTGTGACTCAAAAAGGAAAAAAAAAAGTATCCTGGAATGTTGACTGCCAGCTCGTCAATAGTCATATTGTCTCGGTTGCTTAAGAGTGGGGTCACCTCAGGACCCTCTGCCCATTGCATCACACCTGCCAGGAAGTCCTGTTTCACACTCTTCTTTATTTTAGATTTGACAGTTTTGTTTGTTGTTGCCTTTTTTTTTTTTTTTTGGCCACATCAGATGGTGCTCAGAGCATACTCCTGGCTCCTAGCTTAGGGATCAGGGATCAGTTCTGGCAGTGCTGGGCAGGGGGCATATAGGGTGTTTTGAATCAAACAGGTTGGCTGTGTGCAACACAATCCTCCTATCCACCCTACTATCCCTCTGACCCCCTGAGGGCTTGTTTTGGTGCCACACTCAGATTGCTCCTGGCTATGCTTGAAGGACCACGCCACACTTTGATCAAACCCAGGCCTCCTACGAGCGGAGTGTGTGCTCTCTTTGCCATCTCCTTGGTCTCCAATAAATTTCTTTTATGTGAGGCAGCATAGTGTCAAAAGGCTTAAAATATTGGATGCTTCAAGGCCCACTAGCCCCCAAGGCCCCTTCCTGGAGGTGACTCCTCTGTCCCCAGTGCCTCCCTCCAGAATTGTGGTGTGGGACACCTACGCAAGCAACTACATAGGTTCTTCTCCACACCTCGAGAAAAACTTCTATTTGACATAATATTGCCTTTACCTAGTCCTGCAGTTTGACATTCCACAAGCCTTGCTCCCATCCACCCTGCATTATTTCATTCTTTCACAGCTGCCTGCTGTCCACCTTTTGCTTTTCGCTGGTGCGGGGATAGAGCCCAGGCCTCATATGTTTAAACATGTGCTCCACCACTGAGCCCCCTCCTCCTGGCCCTGGGGCCATGTCTCTTCACCAGGTAGCCTGCTGTGGATGGGTGCAGGTTTGCTTCCAATCTTCTGCTATTTCAAATCAGCCTGCAGTGACTGTCACACAGATTCACAGAGGGACAATTAGGCTTCATAAGCCTTGTTTCGAGGCTGTCCTGGGGTTGTAGTCTAGGTTGTAGGAGGCAAACGTGTAGGTGAGCTGATTAGACCAGGCCCTGAGAGCTGGAGAACTTGGTGGTGGGGATGGAGTTCAGTAAAGAGGAAAGGACAGATAGTACAGCAGGTAGGGCGTTTGTCTTGCACAAGGCCAACCCAGGTTCGATTCCCAGTGTCCCTTATGGTCCCCCGAGCACCACCAGGAGTAATTCCTGACTGCAAAGCCAGGAGTAACCCCTGAGCATTGCCAGGTGTGACCCAAAAAGGGAAAAAAAAAAAGAAGAACAACAAGAAGCCTATTGATTAGGCTCCAGACACTCATGGGTCCTTCATTGCCAGGGCAGCTCTGAAATGGGAAATAATTTTACTGATAGGAAAAGGGAGGCTCAGAGAGGTTAAGTCTTTTCCAAGAACACACAGCAAATTGGAGATGCTGTTTCTGTTTTCTTTGTTACTATCCACTAAGTACAGTTAAATCAGTGAGGGTAAATGTGTAGGTGAGTGTGGTGGTCCTGTCCACATAATTCCCACATGTTCAAATACAGAAGTGAAAGGAAGGTCGGGGGAAGAGGCTTGAATTTCATTTTTTTATTTTTTTGCCACATCCTACAGTGCATTGGGCTACTCCTGGCTCTGTGCTCAGAGGTCACTCCCAGTGGATGCTCAAAAGACCATGTAGTACTGGGGAGTGAATCCAGATTGAATCTGCATGTAATGCATGTACACCAGCCCTTTGAGCTATCTATTTGGCCCTTATTTTAATTTCATTATTAAAAAATTTTGTTTTGGGGGCTGGAGCGATAGCACAGTGGGTAGGGCATTTGCCTTGCACACGGCCAACCCAAGTTCAAATCCCAGCATCCCATATGGTCCCCTGAGCACTGCTAGGAGTAATTCCTGAGTGCAGAGCAAGAAATAACCCGTGAGCATTGCCGGATGTGACCCAAAAAAGCAAAAAAAAAATTGTTTTTGTTTTTGTTTGAGGGTTGTATCTGGGGTCAGGGCTTACTCCTGGCACTGTGCTCAGGGATCACTTCTGTTGTGGCTTGGGGGAATCATATAGGATGCTGAGAATTGAGCCCACATCGCCGTGTGCAAGGCAAGCACATCTACCATCTATACTATCTCTCCAGCACCACACCACCACCCCTATTTTAACTTTAAAAGCAATGCCTAATAATTATAGACGTGTGTGTGTTGGGGGTTGCATACCTGGTAGTGCTGAGGACTTACTCCTGGCCTTACAGTACGTATGCTGGGGAAAGAATCAAGGTCAGCCACGTGCGAGGTTAATGCCTTGTACTTGATCTCTAGCCCTTCATCATAGATCTTTTAGAAGTACAGAAAAATTGAAATATACAGATAAAAATACCCTCATATTATTTCATAGTAGATATTGTAGCGTATTTCCTTTCAGACTTTTATTCATTTTCAAAATTGAAATCTTTCTGTGTATAGTAGTTGAGCAGTATTTTTTAATCAATAGAAGAAAATGTAGTATAGAGCTGGAGGGATAGCACAGCAAGTAGGGTAGTTGCTTTGCGTGCAAGTGACCTGAGCCCAGTTTAATCCCTCGTACCCGAACCCAGTTCAATCCCTTGTACCCCACATGGTTGTTTCTCTCCCTCACCCCCGCCCCCCGAATCCCTGCCAGGAGTCATCTTTGAGTGCAGATACAGGAGGATGCCCTGAGCACTGTGGGAAGGAAGAGAGCAGGCAATGTTACTTAGCAACTGCTTCAGGGAATTTGTTAACTTTAAGGTGGACCATGCTAAAGATAGACCCTTCTGGAGGCTTTCCCCCATAATTCCCGTCAGGAAGTGCTGTTCTAGGTTGAGTTGCTGGACACTCACTTGATGAGCAGGCTCTGTGTCAAGCACCCAGGGAAATGCTGGGGACTCAGAGAGGACAAGCAGAGCCTTGCCTCTCAGGGCCCCAGGCTGTTCTTGAGAGTTAACTAATTCGGAGTAAGGAGTCAAGCTTGAGAGTGTGAAGCGTTGCTGGGAAGTCTGGGATCTGATGGAAGTGCTCTCATCTCAGCTGTGGGTCAGAGGTCTGAGGAAAAGGCAGGTCTCTCTGCTCAAGGCCCAGAGACAGGAAAGATCCTTGGGAAGTTCTGCTGGAGCAGTGGAGCAGGAGAGGGTGAAGTGGGGAACAGATGCCAAATCCCTAAACATTTCTTGTTTTGTTTGGGCGGCCAGTGCCGATGCCAGCGGGGGACACTCCTATCAGGGGCTGGTAGGAGGAGTCTGGATTTTCTTCCCTCAACAGTGAGAAGGGATTAGAGACTTTTCAGCTGGAAGTGATGTGATTTATGTTTTAAAAATATCTCCAGAAATGGAGAGATAGTACAGGAGTTAAGGCCTGGCATATGATGGCCTGGGTTTAATCCCTGGCACTGCATGTGGTCCCTTGAGTACTGTCAAGAGTAATCCCTGAGCACAGAGCCAGGAGTATGCCCCGAGCACCACCAGATGTGGTTTCCAGCACCCCTGCCCACATAAGTCTCTGGGAAAGGGGGTGGGAGAAGGAAGAGGTGGGCTTAGAAGTAACATAAGGACATCTTGGTCACTTTGATGGTGGTGGGGGTGCAGTAACTGAACATCAAAATCATAAATGCAAAGGGCCAGAGAGATAGTGCAGTGGGGAGGGTGCTTGCCTTGCATGCAGCTGACCTGGGTTCAATCCCCGGCATCCCATATGGTCCCATCAGCACCGCCAGTAGTGCAGAGCCCCCCTGATCTTTGCCGGATGTAACCCAGAAATGAAAAACAAAACAAAAGGCAAATGCGAGGCCGGGAGATAGTACAGTGGGTAGGGAGCTTGTCTTACACAGGGCTGATATAAGTTTAATCCCCAGCATCCTATATGATCCCCCAAGCTCTGCCAAGAGTGATCCCTGAGCAAAGTCAGGAGTAAGTGTTGAACATCTGGGTGTCCCCCCCAAAATCACACACACGTACACACACAAAAGAAACAAACATAAATGCTAATACTACGGTAAATATGTGACTTAAACTGCCATAATTATTTTTTTGTTTGTTTTTTTGTTTGGGGGGCCCACACTCAGTGGTGCTCAGGGCCTAGTCCTTAGTGGTACCTTAGACTTGGTTCTCAGGTACCACTCCTGGCAGGACTCAGGGGACCATATGGGGTACTGCAGATCGAACCCAGTTTGGGCATGTATAAGGCAAGCACCTTACTGTACTATCTCCCCAAACCTACAATAATTAGGATTTTTAAAAAGTAATAGAAATAAATGGGATAACTATTGAATTTCTCCCCTTTTTGGCTATGAAGATTTATTCTACACAATTAGTATTAGATATTTCTTAGTATTTTCTCCTAAGGTGAAATTTCCATTTGTTGTTTTTCTCAGTCACATACACAAAAGATGTGTTGGAAGGACCAGGGGTGTGGCTCAGTAGTAGAGCACAGGCCTTGCATGTGTGAGGCCCTGGGTTTGATCCCCAGTGCTGAAAAAAAAATAGATAAAAAGATGAGTCTAGGGACCAGAGTGATAGTACAGAGAGTAGTGCGTTTTGCTTGCACGCAGTCCACCCAGGTTCAATCCCTGGCATCCTATATTGTCCCTTGAGCAACTCCAGGACTAATTTCTGAGCGCAGAGCCAGGAGTAATCCCTGAGCATCGCCAGGTGTGACTCAAAAAGCAAAAAAATGAAAGAAAGAAAGAAAGAAAGAAAGAAAGAAAGAAGAGTCTGGGGCTAGGGAGATGGCGCAGGCTGGAGGGCCTACTTGCATGCAGGAGGCACCAGCTCAATCCTTGGTGCACTGCCAGGCATGACCTCTGAGCATTGAACTGGGAGTAGTACCCTCCCCCTCCGCAGTACCAGTTTGTGGGTATGTCCCCCTCCCTTACAAACAAAGTTGAAAAAGAGAGTCAGGCTGCAGTGGGAAAGTCAGGGCCCAGACAAAGGAGCGATTTCCTGCAGCAGCTCTGCAGGGAAGGTGGAGACACCCCCTTCTTCCCAGACCTGACTCCCTCCCCTGAGATTTTCATCAGCATCTCATTCCTGACCTCCTCTTGCTCAGGGGCTCTTTTGGCTCTGTGCTCAGGAGTGACCCCTAGTGGGGATCTGTTGTGGTGCTGGGGCTTTGAACTAGAGGCCCCTGGGATGCAAGGCAAGTGCGCTGTGCTCTGTGCCATCTCTCATCCCTGACGTCCTCTTTTTATCTTGGTACAAAATTGAAGTGTTTTTGCTATTGTTGTTATCGTTTGTTTGTTTGGTTGGTTGGTTTGGGGGCCATACACAGCAGTGCTCAGGCTTACTCCTGGCTCTTTTCTTTGGCATCACTCCCAGTGGGACTCAGGGAAAACATCAGCGCTCGCTTCGGATCAAATCCGTGTGGGCAGGGTACAAGGCAAGCACCCTACCCGCTGCCCTACCTCTCTGGCCCCAAACTGAAGCTCATTTAAGTAAAGGTTATTTAACACGACAAACCCGATGCTAGACTACCAGGAAGTATCAGACCTGGGACTTAACCCCGGATCTAACTGACTGTTCTTTTCCCTCCCCCAGTCCTGTCAGGCTTAGGGCTGGAGAGAGGAATGGAAGAGAAGCAGCTAAGGCGACTCTTTTTTTCTTTTGTTTCTACAGCTACGGAGTCAAGATCCGGGCCCCTCACGCGCTGGTCATGACCTTTCTCTTCCGGAGTGGCAGGTAGGTAACCCCTAACACCTCTGACCGGAGAGAGAAGGTGGTTAGCTCTCAGGATGGCCACTTCCCAGCGGGTGCTCACTTCCTGCGCCATCCCCACAAAGACCCCCAAACAACAGTAATAGCAAAAGCCACTTTGTACCCTTTGCTTTCCACATTGCTGGGGTTGTGGGTTGCACATGCTCCCTGCTGTGGTTAGTGCACATTTCACCGCAGAGTTCACACCCTGGGCCTCAGTGCTCTCTGGGTTGCATCCCCTGACCCTCTTACCCCTTTAACAGTGCTCACACACACACTGGCTCAGGTGCATGTCTTCAGCTGGTGTACATTCTCTCTGTGCTGCTTAGTGAGACCTTTGTCTTCCCTGCCTTGGTGTGTGTGTGTGTGTGTGTGTGTGTGTGTGTGTGTGTGATTTGTGGCTATATCCAGTGGTGCTGAGGGGCTAACTTCTGTCTTTTGTGCTTGGGACTCCTAGAAGTACTTGAGGGGAGGGAGAACGTGTGGTATCGGGGATCGAACCTGGTCAGTCCCATGCAAGTGCCTCACTCTCTGCACTGTCATTCCAGCCCTCACACATGTTTTAATGGTGCTCTCTGGAGGTCACGTCCTTTTCAGTTGTGCCACTTATGTCCACCTGGCTGTGCTGTGATTGGAAATTGCTTAACTCTAGGGATCATGGACAATGGAGCTACAGGGTCTTATCTGACAGATACCTGTAGCAGCATTGAGTAGTGAATGTAGAAACGTGCTTGTTGGGCTGGGGCAATGGTATAGTAGGTAGGGCATTTGCCTGGCATGTGACCCACCCCAGTTTGATCTCTGTGGTCCCCCAAGCACTCCCAGGAGTGTTTCCTGGCCTTGTAACCCGAAGTGTCCCCTGAGCACCAAAAACAAACAAACCCTGTGCTTGCAATTCAGAGGCTGTAAACCACTGAGCCCGTGGCCTAGTAGGAAGGTAGAGATTTCTAATTGAAGGTAGATTCAGTGCCAATATCTACAAACTGGGAAATCCAGGACAAGGGAGCAGGTCAGTAGTAGAGCTCTTGCTTGTCATATCTGCAAGACCCTGGGTAGAATCCCAGTACTGAAGCCAAACCAAACCAAAGCGACACTGGGCACGGCAGCTTGGCCGCAAGTTCCCTGGGGTGAGGATCAGCTGACCCCTGGTGCTCGGCACTCCCTTGGCAGATGTCCACAAGTCCCCTGAGACACCTCAAGGACCCAGCTCACCTGGAGGGCACTTGGTCTTAGCCTTCCCGGTCTAGATGGATTTCCTGGAGTACTCCCTGTTCCTCTCGTTTGTTCTCACAGCCCTGAGCAATTTGTAGAAGTTTTACTCAGATCTCTACCCAACTTGATCTTTCACTTCTTTGAAGCTGGGAAGATCTCAGCCACCAGCCTCACCACTCCTTTGGGGAGTGACCCCCAGGCACTGAACCAGAACATTCCCTGAGCATCAAAGCCAAAGATCCGACAACCCTCCCCCGCCCAACCTGTTCATTTCTCTAGTCTGAAAAAAAGAGAGCAGGACATCCACCCACCTCTGCATCCTTTGCCCCTCCCTGCCTGTGCTCGAGCGTGGACCATCTCTTTCTGCTCCTCTGCACTCACGCTCTCCCTCCTGTGCATTGGCCATAGGGGTGGGGGCCCCCTGCCAGGAGGTGCCTCCTCTTCCCTCCGGGCCTCCCTCCTAGATCCTGAACCTTGAGAGCTCTCTGTGTCCCTGGGCTGGTTCCAGGTCACCCTGGTTTCACAATGATCAAGTTCCTGTTTCCTTATCTCTGCTTTGTTTTTGTTTAGTCCTGGCTCTGCACTTAGGCATCACTCCAGGTGGGCTCGGGGGACCGTATGGGTGCCGGGGACTTGAACCCCGGGTTGGCTACATGCAAGGCAAGCGCCGTCCCCACTGTCCTATCTCTCTGGTTTTTCTGTCCCTCGGATGTAAAAGCTCACACGGGCAGCAAACTGATCTGGTTTTCTCGGAATCCTCCCCCTTGGTTCTCCACCTCACCACCACTCACTCACTCAATCTGCATGTGCTCACCCCAGAATCCTAAACCTAGGGGCCAGGCCCTGTCCGTCCTCCTAAATGGAGACACGCTCTGGTAGCTGCCTGTGACAGTCTCCCAAGTGCTCAGAGCCTACTGCAAAGTGAGATCTTTCTTCTGTGCAGGGTGGTTGGAAGGATGAGGCCTATGGGAGAGGGGATCTGCTGCCCAGGCCTGAATCCAGCCTGGAGTTGAAGGGATGCCAGCCCCTAGGCTCACAGTGGCCCGTTGTGTTTGTACAGCCTGCGGGAGAAGCTGCGAGCCATCCTCCAGGCCACGTACATCCACTCCCGGAACCTGGCCTCCTTCGTGTTTGTCTACAAGAGCCTCTGTGCCCTGCAGTCGAAAGCGCAGGGCCAGACCTACCAGGCGCACTCGTTTCTGGCCGCCGTCATCGGGGGCATCCTCGTGTTTGGCGAGAACAACAACATTAACAGCCAGGTAATGCGGCTTCCGGGGAGGGGCTGGGAGCAGAGTGTGTTGGGGTGAGGCGTTGGGGTTCCAGGATGATGAGCTGCAGGCTGCCTTTCTGGTCCACGTCCAAGGGTTTGACTCAGCAGCCCCATGTGACCCTGGAAGGGTCCCCTGTCCCTCAGTTTTCCATTGGGAAGCCAAGCAGCCTTTTCAAAGTCTGGTTCCCCCAGTGTGTGCATGGCTCTATGCGGCAAATATTTCATTTATATTTATTTATCTTTGTGCTTCTTTCAGCCATACCCAGTGGTGCTTAGGGCTTACAACTGGCGTTGTGCTCAGGGATCACTCCTGACAGTGCTCAGAGACCATATGTGGCTCTGGGAATTGAACTGGGACTGGCCAGATGCAAGGCAAGAGACAAAAGAGGCAGAAGGGCTTTTTCTGCTTATTTGGTTTTGGTGTGGGGCCTACACCTGGTGGTGCTCAAGGCTTACTCCTGGCTCTGCACTCAGGGATCTCCTGGTGGTGGTGGAGGTCTCGGGACACCATGTGGGGTGAAACCAAGTCGGCCCGTTGTAAGGCAAGCTCCATACCCACTCTACTATCTTTCCGGCCCAAGAGGCAAAAGTTTTAGAACAGGGGGTTGGAGTACAACGGGTAAGGCACTTGCCTTGTAAATGGCTGAGCTGGAGTTCATTCCCTGGCACCCCATAGGGTCCCTTGAATCCTACCAGGAATCATTCCTGAGCCCAAAGCTAGAGACAGGAGTAACCATAACCACTGAGCACCACTAGGTATGGCCCCCAAACAAAAACAAAAGTTTTGAAACAAAGCTGAAAAAAGCAGGGCCTGAGTGACAGTTCCCTGGGCTGGATCTTCTGCCTCCCAAGGAGGCCAATACTCTTCCTGGCACAGCACACGGTTCCCCAAAACTCTCAAGAATGACCTCCTTGCACTAAGCCAGGAGTAGGCCCTGGACACCACTGGGATAGCCCCCAAAACAAGTAAACAACAACAACAAAAACAAATTAAAAACTCACTCAATAGCACAGTGGGTAGGGTGTTTGTCTTGCACGCGGCGAACCCAGGTTCGATTCCCAGCATCCCATATGGTATCCCGAACACCTCCGGGAGTGATTCCTGAGTGCCTGAACCAGGAGTAACTCCTGTGCATCACCGGGTGTGACCCAAAAAAGCAAAAAAACAAAACAAAACAAAAACAAACAAAAAGTAAAAACCTTACTTTGGAGGAGGCCCAGAGTGAGAGAGAAACAGAGAGAGACAGAGAGACTGTTGGCGTTAAGGCACATGCCTTGCGAGCAGCAGATCCCCTTCGAGCCCCCGCGCTTTTCCCCAGTGCTGCAGGTAGCTCAGGTCATCCCTGGTACAGAAGCATCACATCCCCCCCAGGCCCGCGCATTGAACCTCCAGCCCAGTCAGCCAAGAATTACTGGGAGCGGCCCCTGGTTTGGGAAGCCTCCAGAAAACAAAACCTGAAGGGGCCAGAGCAACGGTACAGTGGTAGGGTGCTTGCCTTGCACACAGTCAACATGGGTTCAATCCCAGCTCCCTACAGAGTCCCCCAAGACCCACCAGGAGTGACCCCTGAACACAGAGTCAGGAGTAAACCCTGAGTACCACTAAGTGTGGCCCCCAAATCAAACAAAAACAGAAACAACCAACCCCCTCTACAGGGCGGAGAGATGGCCCAAAGGGCTGGAGCACATGCTTTGCGTGCTGGAGTCTTGGATTTAATCTGAGCACTGGTCCTCTGAGCACTGCCCCTGATCCCCCCCAACAGCATTGCTCGCTGTGATCCCCTCCCCCATCTCTCCCAAAAAGAGCAAAGAGAATAATAACATCTTCAGTCAAATGTGAAACAAATGACACTGGAAAAAAAATTTTCATAAAATGAAACTTTCGTGCAAAGAATTTTCTCTTATTCTCGAACAAGAGGAGATTTTTCTGCTCCATTTAAATGTTTTTGTTTTTGTTTTTTAAAAAAAATGAAATGCTACTTGTCACATTTATGTTCTTAGTCTACGTGGAAAGTTTGCAGCCCCTCTATCGGTCTCTCACAAATTTCTTAAAAATTTTAAATTATAAAAGCGATGCTTTACTTCAGCCTGTAAGATAGGGTAAAGGGACCCCCAGCACCAACACATGGTCTTTCAGGCACTGCCAGGAATGACCCCTGAGCACAGAGCCAGGAGGAAATGCTACGCTCAGAAGTAAGGAGTGACTCTGAGTGCAGAGCCAGACGTAAACCCTGAGCACCGAGCCAGGAGTAAATCCTGAGCACTGCTGGATGTAGCCCAAATACCCCCCTCAAAATGTTTTATTTTTATATTAAAAAATACAGAGTGTGGGGCCAGAGCAATAGCACAGTGGGTAGGGCATTTGCCTTACACGCGGCCAACCTGGGTTCGATCTCCGGCATCCCATATGGTTCCCCAAGCACTGCCAGGAGTAATTCCTGAGTGCAGAGCCAGGAATAACCCCTGAGCATCGCTGGGAGTGACCCCCCAAAAATACAGAGTGTGGGGGCTGAAGTGATAGCACACCAGGTATTGGCTGACCCGAGTTTGATTCCCAGCATTCCGTATGGTCCCCTGAGCACCACCAGGAGTAACTCCTGAGTGCAGAGCCATGAGTAAACCCTGTGCATCGCTGGATGTGACCCAAAAAGAAAAAAAAAATACAGAGTGAGCGAGGATTTGACTTAGGTGGTAGAGTATCTGCCTTGCATACCTTACACGTATGAATCTTGGGTTGGGTTCCCAGACCGCGCGCACACACACACACACACACACACGCGCGTAAATAATAATAATACTTAATAAAGTTTTAAAAACGCCAGACTAAAGTGCTTTTTTTGGTTTGGTATTATTTTTTTGTTTGTGTTTGGGTCACACCTGGTGGTGCTCAAGAATTACTCCTGGCTCTGTGCTCAGGGGTCACTTGTGGCAGTGCTCAGAGGTCCATATGGAGTACAGGGTCATGAATCCAGGTCAGCCACATTCAAGGAAAATGTCCTACCCACAGTACTATTTCTCCAGCCCCCCTGAGTGCTTCCTTTGTGCTGGTGGTTTCCAGGTATGCTAAAATAAAATGAGAACATATGATTCTAATTAGAAATTAGAAAATAAACAAAAAAGACATACCCCATTCTGTCAGTGGTCAGAGACGTCATGTCACTGAGAACAGGGCCTTGCAAAAATTGTTGCTGGGCCATTGCACCTGGAAGTTTCCCACTAAGGCCTTCAGTTCCTGAGTTTTTTTTTGTTGTTGTTGTTTGTTTTTTGTTTGGAGGACACATCCAGCAGTGCTCGGGACTTATTCCTGGCTCTGCACTCAGGGACCACTCCTGGTAGGCCTGGGGACCATATGGGGTTTGAGGTTGGCTATGAGCAAGGCAGATGCCCTATCTGCTGTGCTATTTCTCTAACCCCAGATTTATTAACTTAAAGATGTAACTTGCAGACATTTTATGTCAGTGCCTTGTTCCTTCTCTCCTACCCCAAACTGCTCAGGGGCTCCTGACAGTGCTTGGGAAACCATATAGTGCCAGAGATTGAGCCCAGAATTCCCACATACAAAGCCCTCAATTATTCCCCACTCACTAAAAAAAATTTCTAATAACAGTCTCTCTCTCTTTTTTTTTTTTCCTTGCTTTTTGGGTCATACCCGGCGATGCACAGGGGTTACTCCTTGCTCTGCACTCAGGAATCACTCCTGATGGTGCTCCAGGGACCATATGGGATTCTGGGAATCGAACCTGGGTTGGCTGCATGCAAAGCAAACACCCTACCCACTGTGCTATCGCTTCAGCCCCCTAATAACAATCTTATGGGTTTGAAAGATAGTGCAGGGTTTAATGTGCTTGCCTTGCGTGTGCTGGACCTGAGTTTTATCCCTAGCCCTGCATGGTCCCCTGAGCACTGCTGTGTGCAGTCTCAGCACAGAGCTAGGAGTGGTTCTTAATACTGCTGTGTGACCCCAAAACCAAATATGTGGGCTGGAGCGATAGTACAGTGAGTGGGTAGGGTGCTGCCTTGCATGAGGCTGACCTGGGTTCTATCCCTGATATGTCATGTTTCCCTAAGCACCACCAGAAGTAATTTCTGAGTGCAGAGCCAGGAGTAACCTCTGAGCACTGCCGGGTGTGGCCCAGAAACCAATTTCTATATATGTGTATATACTTGTTTTGCTTTGCTTCTACTCTTTCCACACCCAGTTGTGTTCAGGACTAACTCGAGTGCCGGGATCACTCCTGGCCATGCTGGGGTTCTCATGTGGTTCTAGGGATAAAACCCGGTGGGTGCATGCAGGGTAGAAACCTACCCTCTGTCCCATCTCTTCAGCCCTATTTAAAGCAATATCATAATGCCCACTAGAGACTACTTCAGATCATCTTACATACCAGCATTGACCAGCAGCGCCACCAGTTCAGGGTGGGGATCGGGGGGGGGGGGGGGGGGGGGTCGAGGGTGAATGGAAGGTTTCTGTGTCTGTGTCTGCCCTAAGCCTCGGTCATTTTCACCCTGCAGATCAACATGTACCTGACTTCGCGGGTCCTGTTTGCCCTGTGCCGCCTGGGTGTGGAGAAGGGCTACATCCCCGAGCCGGCCTGGAACCCCTTCCCGCTCTTCACCGGGCTGGTGTGGGGGCTGGTGATGTGGCTCTTCGAGTACCACCAGCGCACACTGCAGCCCTCGCTGCAGTCCTCCATGACCTACCTATACAAGGACAGCAATGAGTGGCATGACATCTCGGACTTCCTCATTTACAATAAGAGCCGCCCGGCGAATTAAGGTGGCGGCGGCCACCCACACTGAGCCAGCCAGGCAGCCACCAGCCTGACCCCAGGCGGGCTCGGGCTCTGCTGGAGGACCCATGGCGCCTTCTCACCTGCCGCAGTCTCCTGCTCCGGCTCTGATTGTTCCAGGGACTCATTTGCCCACGGGAAAGCACCAATTTTTGGATCCTATTTAGGTACTCGGGTCAGGTGGAGCAGGACTGGGGTGCCTGGGGTCTGCTCCAGCTCTGCTGCCGCTTTCTCTGGGACCAGGGAGAGGCCGCCCCGCAGCTCAGAGCGAGGCCTGTCTCCTCTCATTGGGCCTGTGGATTAGGGACATGAGCTACAAATATGGATTTTTTTTTTGAAGTATTCAATTCCTTGTCTCAGGTATTGTTCTGTTGGGAGGAGCTCTATGATCCCACCGTCCCCTAGAAATACCACATGAGCCATGGTTGTCATTGAAATGTTCTAGTAGCCACTTTTATTGTTGTTTTTCAGCCACACCTGGCAGTGCTGTGGGGCTCTGCCTGACTCTGCTCAAGGGTCACTCCTGGCTCTGCTTCAGGGGACCTTATATGGTGCTGGTGATCACAAACCTGGATCTGCTGCCTGCAGGCCGCACTTTAACCCCAATACTAACAAACTTTCTGACTCCTAGACACACTTTTTTGGGGGGAGGGAGGGGGTGTGTTTTTTCTTGAGGCCACACCCGGCAGTGCCCAAGGCTTATTCCTGCTTCTTTGCTCATGGATCACTCCTACCAGGCTCCAGAGATTAAACCCAGGTCAGCCGTGTGCAAGGCCAGCGCCTGCCCTCTGTGCTATTGCTCTGCAATTTTTACAGAGTAGAAATAAACAAGGGAGATTAGTCTTAATGAAATATTTTAATATTCAACTAATATAAAAGCAGAGGCCAGACCAATAGTACAGCTGGTTAGGCAGTTGCCTCCCATGCAGCCAAGCTGGGTTTAATCCCCAGCACCAAAGATAGTTCCCTGAGCACTGCCAGGGGTGATTCCTGAGCACAGGGCCAGGAATAAATCCTGGAAATAGTTGGGTGTGGCCCAAAAACCTAAAATATAAAAAAGGTGTCAGGGAAGTGGCTGCGACCCTGGGATCCATTCCTGCCACCCCCAACAACAGAAATGTTTTTGATTGTCAGGTAAGATAAGCCTTACCTGTTCCTCTCTTCAGAGGGCAAATAGAACATGATGATTGGAGTCTGAACATCTCTGTGTGATTTGGGCTCGCAATACCATAATCACTCCTAGCTGATTATTAAAAAAAATAAATTTTTAAAAAATGTAAAAAAGCATTTTAAATGAGATACCTTATATATGTTTTCCCGTGTACTAAGCCATCAGAATCATCTGGTGGCGTTCATACAGTGGGTCTCGCTTGGAAGCAGCTGCTCACTTGCCCAGTATCCCAGTGAAGCCTGTGGTTGCCATGTTGGACAACACGAATATCAAACAATCCTGTCATCAGAGAATACTCTAATGGACAGTGTGGTCACAGAGCTGGAGGACGTAGCTTCCAACCTACCATTGTGACCTGGCGGAAGGTTCTTAATGTCCCCAGAGCCCGTGATTTCGTGTAAAATGAGAATCATTATCATCATGCCTGGAGTCTGCCTTGTACTAATTCATTGCTACTAATTATTTTCACTTAATGAGATCCTGCTTCCTCCTGGGTGCTTTAAACATAATGTTTTAAATCTAGACAGTGGCTGTGCAGGACTCTCTTGATCCCTGTTTCACAGAAGTGGAAACTCAAGGAAGTAACTAGCTGAGGCAGTACAGCCACTGGTATAACCAAATCAGATTTTAAACCCAGATCTGATTTCAAAGGCTATATTTTTAATTCATTGCCAAATACAGTAACAGGTGTCACAATGGAGACGTTACTGGGCCCGCTCGAGCAAATTGATGAATAGCTGGAGGACAGTGACAATGGCTTTATTCAAAAATAAAGTGTGTGTATGTGTGTGTTTGTGTGTGTGTGTGTGTGTGTGTGTAGCACTCCTAGCAGTGCATAGGGGAACCATGAGGTGCTGGGGATCAAATCCAGAACTCCTGCATGCAAAGTCTGCCCTCCAGCCCTTTGAAAAGCAAACTTCCAAACCCTCTGTGCCTTACTTTAAAATTAGAAATCTCGGGGCTGGAACTATAGCACACCGGTAGGGCGTTTGCCTTGCACGTGGCCAACCTGGGTTCAATTCCCAGCATCCCATATAGTCTCCTGAGCACCGCCAGGAGTAATTTCTGAGTGCAGAGACAGGAGTAACCCCTGAGCATCGCTAGGTGTGACCCCCCCCCCCAAAAATTAGAAATCTCATGGCCAGAGCATTAGTACAACAGGTAGGTACTCGTCTCACACAAAGCTATCCCAGATATTATCCCTGGTACTCCATATGATCCCCTGAGCCTACCAGAAGCCTACCAGATCTTTGAGTGCAGAGCCAGGAGTAAGTCTTGAGCAAGGTTAGATGTTGCCCAAAATATAAAAATAAATAATATTAGAAATCTGGGGGCCAGAGAGATAGTACAGTGGGTAGGGTTCCTGCCCTGCATGCACCAACCTCGGTTTGATCCCTGGCACCACATATGGTCCCCTGAGAACCTTCAGGAGTTAGTTCTGAGGGTTCTGAGCACAGAAATTAATAAATGAATGTAGAAAATAAATTAATAAATAATGTAGAAATCTAAGCATTGCTATGTAAATGTTAGTTATAGGACCTATTTCAGAGGGGACTGCAAACTGCCTCCCGGGACATGTGGCACAAATGGGTACTGTGCGGTAGGGAGGGAGGGACGAGCATAGGGGCATATGGAGACTTGTATGCTTGTCTGATTTTGTTTGTGTTTTGGGGGCTATACCCAGTGGCAAGGGGCTTCTTAGTGCCTTGGGTGATGACATGGCCTATGAACCTCCTGTACCAGAGGCCGGTTTTGGCTTCCCCAGTAGCACAGCCCAAGACCAGGAGCTGAGTGCTAGTGACTTCTGTGAAGTGGGCCCCAGAAGCCCTGGTTGGACGTGAGGAAGGGAGACAGGGAAGGGGTGCACTGTGGGAAAGCGAGCTCAGTCCTGCGGGGAGCTCTGGGAGCCAGTGGGAAGCATATGCCGGAGGGACCCTCCCCAGATCTAACTGGGGAGGGGTGTGGTCTTGGGGGAATCCGTCAGTCATTGCAAGGTCTGCTGCCCCTTCATCCTGCAGGTCTGCAGAGATGATAGTGGCCTGTGAGAGCCCATGGGCAGAAAGATGAGTGGCAGCTGGAGGCCGGGGTGTGCCCTGAAGAGGCTCTGCCAAGGTTCCATGGACTGTGACTGAACCCCTCGGTGTCTGCCCATATGACAAGAAGGGTGCCGAGAGCTCACCTGCAGGTGGGCTTCAGGCCTGTGAAATGTGCACTGGAGTCTGAACAGTTGTTCAGTGGGCTGAAATTGTGCTTGGCATATGGGAGGCCCAAGTTCAATCCACAGTACCGCATGGTTCCCCAAGCACAAGAGAAGCCTCTGGACACTGCTGGGTGTAGCCCCTCCAAACAAAAACAAAAAACAAACAGAGGCCCCAAGAAGCACTCAGTAAGCATTCGCTGCTATTTCTCATCCTGCAGCCCAATGTAGGAGGAAGCAGAAATGAGTGCACCATGCTCTAAGTCGGTCCCGCCCGTCCCCCACCGCCAGCGGGGCTGGCCGGCTCCCCACCGACCATCTCTGCTCTCTAAGAATAGGTTTCCCTCGCAGATGGCATCTCCCCGGATGCTGCTGGAGCAGCTGCTGCCTCCAACTGCTCTCTGCAGGGAGGAAGGCGGTGTGGTCCATGGTGAGGGGCAGATCTCCGGCAGGCCCAGGAGGGGTCCCCCGACTCTGCTCCCTCTTAGCTGAGCTTCCATTTTCTCAGATCTGAAAAACAAAGCTGATAAAGGGTCAGTGGCTCCCTGCCCCCCAGACAGAAGGGTAACCTGGATTTGATTGGGAGCTTTATGGTTGCTGTTTGGTTTTGGGGGTCACACCCAGTGAAGTTCCTCCTGTCTCTGTTCTCATGGTCACTCCTAGCAGTGTGCAGGGGACCATATGTGGTGCTGGGGTTCAAACCAGAATTGGCTTCATGCCAGGCAAGGACTTGAACCCTTATACTATCTTATTTCTTCCTTCCTGGTTATCAGTTTCTCGGGATCACACATCAGACTCGGGGCTGTTCCCATCTGGGTACTCAGGATTTGCTCCTTGTGGCTCTAGAGGACCATACAATGCTAGGGATTGAACCTGGATCTCCTAAGTATGCACTCCGTCCCAATCCCAAACTGTCCTAGATCAAACTCCCAGTACAATCCTGTGCAGTCTTTTCTTTGTGAGAGCAGAGGGGTTCAGCCACACCCAAAGGTGCTCAGGACTTACCTCAGGGATTATCTTGGTGAGACTCGGGGGACCCTATAAGATGCTGGGGATTGAACCCGGATCAGTCACTGCAATATACACTCCTTACCCCTGTACTCGGGTCGGCCATGTTGGCCGCTTGTAAGGCAAACGCCCTACCGCTGTGCTATTGCTCCAGCACAGAAGGTAAGGCGTTTGCCTTGCATGCAGCCAACATGGCCAACCCGAGTTCGATTCCTCCGCCCCTCTCGGAGAGCCCGGCAAGCTACTGAGAGTATCTCGCCCGCACGGTAAAGCCTGGCAAGCTCCCCGTGACGTATTCGATATGCCAAACACAGTAACAAGTCTCACGATGGAGATGTTACTGGGCCCGTTCGAGCAAATCGATGAATAACGGGAGGACCGTGACTGACTGGTGACCCTTATACTATTGCTCCAGCCCCTGTGAACCAGGCTTTAGACCTAAGTCCATCCTACACCGGAACATTGTGCAAGGCCCTGCTTCCTGGAGCAAACCCTTATGTGCACAGTCTCAGACTCCAGAGGAATCACTTCCTTTTTCTTTTGGGCTATATCTAGAGGTGCTCAGGGGCCACTGCTGGTGGTGCTTGGAGAATCATGCAGTGCTCCCCAGCAAGTTTCCTGCATGAAAAGCATGTGCTCAGCCTGTTGAGCTCTCATTCTGTCTCAGATGAGTGATTTCTTTGAAGAGTTTAATGGTTATAAAAGGAAATTCTTCCCCTTCCCCTTTGTCTTATTCCAGATGCAAAGAAAGGAGTGTATATAACTTTTCTTGCCTTGAGTATTTGGGATCCAGGGGATTTCACTCTAACCACTGGGGCTCCTGCCCCATGGACCCAGGTAGGAGGCTGAGAGAAAGCTGAGCTGCCTTTTGAGTATTGTTTTTTAGATAGGGCTTCCTGATGGGTGGTCCCCCACTTTCTGTGCCAGATGTCTAGGCTCTGGGCTGCTGCAGGTGACATGATTCAGTTACT